ATCAGATATCCTGCCTATCAGATATGAATTGCAGTTATGAAGTAGCATCAAAAATAATGTTATGGTTGGGGGTCACCATACCACAAGGAAATGTATTAAAGGGTCATAGCATCAAGAAGGTTGAGAACCACTGCTGTCGAAGCATCCAGATCTGTCTCTCTTTTTCCTTAATACCCTGACCTAGAAAGCCTTTCTCCTTTTAGGAAACGAATGGCAGAGAATGAGCTGAGCCGGTCAGTGAATGAGTTTCTGTCGAAGCTACAAGATGACCTCAAGGAGGCAATGAATACTATGATGTGTAGCCGGTGCCAAGGAAAACATAGGTATGAAACAGGACACGGGTGTGACAGCTACAGCCGAGAGATTTGGGAACCAGAGGCCTTCCTTGGAGTGTTGTTGATGACTGTGGAGTACAGACGATGAGGAAAAGACCCCAAGTCGTCTACTTTTGCCCTCCTACTAAGAGACTGAGAATTTAGGGCTGGAGAGATGGCTCCATGGTTAAGAGCATTGCTGTTTTCCCAGAGGATCCAGTTTCTGCTACCGGCACCTACAGCAGATGCTTCACAACTGTCTGTAACTACAGCTCTAGCCAGACTGCTCTGGCTCTGAGGTCATCTGCAGGGATGCACACATACTTACATGCATACATACATATATCTTAAAAATTATAAAAACAAACCTTTCTTTTTTCTTTTTTTGGTTTTTGGAGATAGGGTTTTTCTATGTAGTTCTGGCTGTTCTGGAACTTACTCTGTAGACCAGGCTGGCGTCAAACTCACAGAGATCCACCTGCCTCTGCCTCCCGAGTGCTGGGATAAAGGTGTGCGCCACCATTGCCAGGCTAAAATCTAATCTTTAAAATAAAAAGATTGATGGTCTCAACTACTGATGCCAAAATACAGCTCTCATTAACCAGGTGTGATGACACATGCCTATAATGCCAGCATTCAGGTGGTGGAAGCAGGAGATCTGAGGTTCAAGACCATTCACAGCTGTATATCAAGTTCAAGGCTAGGCTGGGCTATGTGAGATATCTCACCTTAAAGGGAATAAAAGTTAATTCTGTAGCCACATAGGAATGACCATGGCCTGGAACATAGATTCAGGTTATCTGCCAAACCATGTTCAAACATAGTAACAGTTTAGGAAGTTTTTATTTACTTATTTTTCAGATTTTAAAATTGATTTTATGTGTGTTTGCCTGTATATATACATACTACTTGTGTGCCTGGTGCTGGAGAAAAGTCAGAAGTGGGCATCAAGGGCTGGAGACTGGTGGTTAAGAACACTAGCTGTTCTTCCAGAAGACCCAGGTTCAATTCCCAGTAGTCACATGGTGGCTCACAACCATCTATAACTCCAGTCCCATAGGATCTGATACCCAGTGCCCTTTTCTGACCTCCAAGGGTACCAGATATGCATGTGGTACACAGACATAAACACTTATACACATAAAAGAAATAAAATTTAAAAACCAAAATAAAATGACACTGATTCCATCCTTTGAAAAAAAAAAGAAAGGTATCAAATTCCCTAGAACTGGAGTTAAGATTGTTGTGAGCTGGGAATCAAACCCAGGTCCTCTGTAAGAGCAACAAGTGCTCTTAACTGCTGAGCCATCTCTCCAGCTCCTGAAGTTATTTTTCTTAAATCTTTTAAATTACATGTAAATTTGCTTGCTACATACATGTGTGTGTACCCAGAGGTGTGGAAGTGGAAGTCCTTTGACAACTTGGTGGAGTTCTCTCCTTCCACCACGTGAACCCTGGGGATGAATGGAGGTCATCAGGCTTGGTGGCACATGTCTTTACCCACCGAGCCATCTTACCAGTCCAAATTTTTATAGTTAAAGAATAAAACTTATAAATCAAGCACTTAAATTTTTTTCTTTTAGATTTATGTGTGTATGAGTGTTTTGATTGCATGTACATATATGTACCATGTGTGTCTGGTGCCTGTAGAGGTCGAAAAGGGCATTGGATCTCCTGCAACTGGAGTTCCTGATGGTTGTGAGCCACTGTGTGAGTGCTGGAAACTAAACCTGGGTCCTTGGCAAGAGCAACAGCACTCTTAACCCCTGAGCCATCTTTCCAACTCAAGATATTTTTTAACTGCACTGATGGGAGTCAGGTAGGCCTCAGGTGTAAGCTTATGACAGTCTTAGTTCTGAGCTGGTGGAAGCTAGTGGTCTGTTAGTCTACTCAAAAGGACTTCCTAATGGTCACTAGGCTGTGAGGGAAACACAAGTGGGCAGTGAATGGTTACTGAAGGGGCTAAAGGTAGTCCAACATAATTTGGCTATAGACACGCAATGTTCAGATCCCACAGTCAACATTAGTTCTAATCAATCACCTTTGTAAAATCTTTAACATGGGTGTGGCTTTTTGGGGTGTGTGTATCATATAATTAGCAGTAGGAAAAAAAGAAAGGGTTCACAAGGCCTTACCTTTTTGAGGATTTCTAGGCAGTTAATGGTTGTTGGAAGAGAGAAAATTTCTTTTTTCTTTCTTTAAATTTTTTTTTTTATTTTTTGAGACAAGGTTTCTCTGAGTAACAATCCTAGCTGTTCTGGAACTAGCTTTGTAGACTAGGCTGTCCTCAAAGAAAGAAAATTTCATAAGTTATATAGACACTGGTAAGGTGCCCATGCCCTTGTAAGCAACACTAATGAAACTAATTAGGTTTCTACAACTCTCTCCCCAAAACACACACATACACACACACACACACACACACACACAAAAGGTGGGTGGGTGGGGCCAGAACATGAAAATAGAACATTAGTTGGGAAGAGGAAGGGTATCAGTGGGAATGGGAGTAAGAGAGAGGATAATAGGAGGTGAATAGGATCAAAATATACTGTATACATGTATGAAAATATAATCAAAGCCATTATTGTCTATAATTGTTATATGCTAATAAAAACATTAGAGAAAGAAAGAAACATTAGTTTAAATATAGAAACGTGAAAGTGAGTGTGGAACTACACTCCTGTAATCCCATCATTTAGGAGTCTAAGGTAGAAACATTATATGCTTAAGTCTAGCCTGGGCTACATACCATGACCCTGCCTCAAACTAAAAGAAAGTTGAAGGCAGGGTATAGAGAAGCAGATATTATAGCTGAGTAAATGTAACTTTTAGTGTTTGGCTATATTTGACAGTAATGACCACTTGAAAAGTATTAAGGAATTTTTGTTTTGGGTTGCAGGAGGTTTGAAATGGACCGGGAACCTAAGAGTGCCAGATACTGTGCTGAGTGTAACAGGCTGCATCCTGCTGAGGAGGGAGACTTTTGGGCAGAGTCGAGCATGTTAGGTCTCAAGATCACCTACTTTGCACTGATGGATGGAAAGGTCTATGACATCACAGGTACACTTCTGACCTCTAAGTACAAGATCATATTTCTTTATCTCATTTGCTGTGAATGGATGTTTTGGGTAATTATCTCTATTCGCAGAGTGGGCTGGATGCCAGCGTGTGGGAATCTCTCCAGATACCCACAGAGTTCCTTACCACATCTCATTTGGTTCTCGAGTTCCTGGCACCAGTGGTCGGCAGAGGTAGGTGTTACTTCTCACTTAACCACTATTTCAGTTGTGAGTATGGTTTCAGATGCCCAGCTCTTTAGGTTTGGGAACTGACCCACTGTGTGGTTAATTTCGGTAGCTAACTGTAATGTCTCCGGCCTCACTGTATTTTTTCTCCCTCAGGGCCACTCCAGAGGCCCCTCCTGCTGACCTGCAGGATTTCTTGAGCCGGATCTTTCAAGTACCCCCAGGGCAGATGTCCAATGGGAACTTCTTTGCAGCGCCTCACCCTGGCCCTGGGGCCACTTCGACCTCCAAGCCCAACAGTACAGTACCCAAGGGAGAAGCCAAACCTAAACGGCGGAAGAAAGTGAGGCGGCCCTTCCAGCGTTGACACCCTTCTCTTCCTTCCTCAAATCAATGTCAGGGAGTCAAAAGGGCTGTGTACAGCACAGGATGGCATTTGATTTGTTTATTTTTAAATACTTTAAAAAGGGAAAAATTTAAATTGTTCACTCAGTACTTAGAGGAAGTCCATGACCTATCCCCCCCTTCCCCAACACCTAGGAACTGAATCTTGTCTTCTGACAATACCAAAGAAATAGGAGGTGGCTAGAGCAAAGAGCTTAGGGTCTGGACCTAGTCCAGTCAGTATGTTCCTAAGGTGTGGGAACTGGGGATTTCTCTGGGGTCTCTATGCCTTTATCTTGTCATTTGCTCTCAGAGCAAATGAAACACACCCCTTTTTAAATGAGTGTATCTTATTTCTTAACCTATTTCAGGGGTTCCTCCCCCGTTACCCTGATGTACTAGCTAAAAGAAAAAGCATGTAGCCCTAATTTTGGAGATACAGAATTCAGAGTGGAAACTGAATTTTTCCTCTGACTTTTCACTTATGGGAAACCACCTAACTTCAGGCTTGTTGTTGCAAGGATGGCCAAAATTAATTAATTTTTAAAAAGCAGACTTATGCCCTGTGCCCTTGGGTGAGGGGGAAGGATAGAGGGGTTCCCAGAGGCCCCCTTGTGAGCCAAGGGTTTGTATTTTTTTAAGTTTGTTCATATTTGTATGTACATATCTATTTAAAGCCAGGGGATTATCTTTCTATAAATATATAACTGGCAACTTCTATCTTCCTTCTTTTCTTTGCCCATGTAGCTGTGAGTCCTTTTCTGTTTTCTTTTGGAGACAGTCTTACTATGTAGCCCAGGCTGGCCTCCAGCCACAGTGATTCTTCTGCTTCTGCCTCCTGAGGGCTGGCCTGCACCACCACACCTAGCCAGGAGCACTTTTTTCTTTTTTGAGGATTCTTTCCTTGCTGTTAGCTGAGAGTGAAGGGTACCCCGTAATGGATCAAAGGAGTAGTGATAAAAATTTGCTTAAATTTTTTATAGTAAGTCAGGGTTCCATATTTCCTCCCCAGCATTATGAGAACATCTCTCTATTCTTCTTGCTTATGAAATTTCAGTCACAACTGAAAAGACTTTATTTTAAGGAAAATATACAGCAAAATAGAACTTGAAGGTGGTAGGTTTGGAAGACATGGAAAACATAATCACCAGACAAGCTGCCCAAGCCTGGATGGCTTCTTGCTGTACAGAGAAGAGTGGTGTGGCCCTTAACCTCATCCACCTTTCCTGAGTCAGAGAATCCTAACCCTATTAAGGCTGGGCCCAGGAACCCCATTTTTCAATTTCTTCCTCCTTGGAGTTTAGAAAGGTTTGTCTTATCTCTCAGGCTTTCAAGGTACAGAAGAAAGGGAAACCATTACATCTCTTTGTTCCAGTGCCTTCTCTCAATGCCTGCAGAACTCTCAACCCATTTTTCAGTATTTGTTGATTCCAAAGAGACGAACCCCATGGAATTGGGGTAGCTTAGGCAGCAGTACGCTGAGTAGTGAGGCAGTGTTGATGAGGAAATGAGCAGCATCATACTTGGTGTAGAAGCTGGCCAGTAGGTAGCTAGGGAGAAAAAAAAATAGGATGACCAAGGTTGGCCTTCCATACCCACATTCATACTTTTCCAGTGATTGTTTTTTCTATTTTGAATTACTAGTTTTATTGCATATAGTCCTTTGCAGTCCAAAACTACTTTAACTAAATCAACAGTATTTAATATGAGGTTTGGGATATAACTAGACATTATAAATTATATTGTTTGCTAATCCCAGGGATTAATCCAAGGACTAATCCCAGGGCCTTGTGCTTGCTAGGCAAGCGTTCTACCACTGAGCTAAATCCCCAACTCCTGTTTGCTAATTGTTAATGATAAATTGCAAATGACAGCCAAAGCTGTTTCAGCCTGTATGACTTTTTTTTTTTTTGAGACAGGGTTTCTCTATGTAGTTCTGGCTGTCCTGGAACTCACTCTATAGACCAGGCTGGCCTTCAATTTATAGAGATCTACCTGCCTCTGCCTCCCAAGTGCTGGGATTAAAGACGTGTACCACCACCACCGCCCAGCACCTGTATGACTTTTGGAGCCCTTTTTGCTTCCTTTCCCCAAATCAGTTTTACTTTTTAACCATTAATATCAATTCTGCCTTTACCTATTTGCTTCTTTTGTGATTGTAAAATCACTTGGATTTAGACAGGAGTTTGGTTTATTTTCAGTCCCTTCTCCCTTTCCTTATTACCATAGAACTAGCAAGGAATGCTTGACTATTACCTTGTACTTTATAATACTCTGTAGGCTTAGGACTAGTATGCTAGTCCTATACACACTAGTGTGTGTGTGTGTGTGTTTGTGTATGTAGGTACATGTCCATGCTTGGAGATCGGAGGTCAACATGATTTTTCCTTGATCGCTCTCCACCACCTTTTTTTTTTTTTTGTAAGGTGGGGGTTTCTTTCTGACTCTGAAGTGCAGTACTTTGGCTAAACTAGCTGCCTAGCAAACCCTAGGGCTCTTCCTGCCTCCAACTCCTCAGTGCTGGAATGATAGGCACCCGTGGTTCTGTGTGGCCACATCTGGCTTTTACATATGTGCTGGGGATTGTGGGGATTGAACTCAAGTCCTCATGAGTGCGTGTGGTGAGCACGTGACTGACTGAGCCATCCCCAACCCCTAGCTCATCTTCCCTGGCTCGTAGGCCACTTGTGACCAGCATCTCCTCTATCCCCGGACTCACAGTACAATAGGAGAGATGCTGAGGAACTTTCTGGAGGAGGTAAATTGTAGTCCATAGTCCATCTGCTCCCAGTGTGTCAACAGCCGAGCCTTTCCTTGGTCAGGGGTCTCAAAGGGTGTCCCTTTCACTGTATGTAGGAAGATATACATTGCCTGGGAAGAAGGAAAGGGACAGAATGAAGGCTAGAAAGTAGTCCTTTGGATCAAGAATTATGCTAAGATCCCAAAAGGAAGACATAAATTCCCAAACAGTTGGTGACTTTACTTTGTTTTGGTTGGGATAGACCTGGGTTGGGTACAAGGGTGTGGTTTAGTGCTCACCAGGTTATGGATGACGTTGGTCAGGGTCCAGACAACAGGAATGCTGAAGAAAGGGATGCTGAGTAGAACCACATGCAGCAGTCCTACCAAGATGATGTAGGCCAGCCAGATGCCCCGACTATTCATCACTCGAGTGTTGGGGTTCACTTCGCTGTGTGCCACCCCCACATTCATCCTACCACAGTGAGGGTCAGGCAGGAGTCCAACTCAGTCTCCTCTGAACCCTGATTGAGCTTGTTCCCCAGTTGTCTCCTGAAAAGCCAAAATCCCCTGAACTCTTGGGAATGAAAGAATTCCCCTAGCATGCAAAAAAAGGGAAAACTGAAGACTTTGTTAAAACTCGAGAAGATGGAAGCAGCTGGGTGTGGTGGCTCATGCTTGTCATCCCCGTACTTGGGAGGTGTTTGAGGCATGAGGACTGTCGTGAGATCATTTCTCCAAAACAAACAAAAAAGCAAGAGGGTCTTCGAAATGGCTAAGCTGGAAAAGGCATTTGCCACCAAGCTTAAAGACCTGAGGTGGCTCCTCAGGACCCACAGAGTGGAAGGAGAGACTCCTGCAAGCTGTCCCGACTTCCATACCTGCCATCATTAGTGTGCATACTCACACAAGTGGTTTGTTTGTTTCTAAGAAAGGGAAAAAAAGGTCCTCCCTACTATAGAAACATGCTGATTTTTACTCCCATCTTTACACTTCAACTATAACATGAAGCAGTAAGCTTAGACTGTGACATTCACTTGAAGCATCAGGGGAATTGGGAGTATTTTAATTTACTTTCTTGAGGAAGTTATTGAATCATAAAGAGGTCACCCACACCCAGAGTTCCACAAGAAAGCTATGCAGTTAATCAAGAGACCAATAAGAAGGCATCGAGGGTAAAGCCACCTCTGGTCCCCATCTTTTTCTGGGGCTCGTCTGTTCTGTCTCTCACCCTTATGGCATGTCAACAGCCAGTAGCTTCAGCTGCAAGAACTTACCCAGTTTTTTAATTAGTCTAGGAAGGGACCTGAGTTCAGTCCCTCAAGAAATGGAGCCCTCACCCTTCTAGGGCTCTTTTGGCATTTAAACTTCTGCTAATGCTAATGCCTATTTTTTTAACCTGCTCTTGCCTGTCCCCACATTCCCCAAATCAAGTAGCGAGTCCGCCTATGCTCCTCCCAGAGTCCCACTTTCGCATGTCGGTTTAAAGCTCTCTTCACGGAATCGTATTCGCCGCCGCCCTTCCCAGTACTCCCATCAGTTTCGCTCGGTAGCCTCTTTAAGTTCCGCACAGCCCCTACCTGCCAGCTTCAGAAGCCCGTCCGGCTGGGGCACAGCGAGGCTCCCACCTGTGGTCTCCAGGAAGTGGCCGCCCTTCGCCCGTCCGCGCCCTCCTATTGGTGGAGCGAGCCTGCGCTGCCCCAGTCATTGGTCGGCTCTGCAGTGGGGCCGTGCGGTTGGCCGCCTTTTCTATCGTTAGGCCATGCAAACCCCGCCCTCCCCTGGGCCCACCTTTTCAGGGAGCCGTGGAAAGTGGCCGAGAGGCGTGAGAGCGACGCCGCCATTGACTAATGGGGAGAGCCGTTGGTGTGGGGTGGGAGTAAGAGCGACGGCGATTGGTTGGACGGCCTGGGCTCCTGGCGGGGCCGCGCTGGGGTCTGTGGGGTAAGCGCAGCAAGATGGCGACCGAGACGGTGGAGCTGCACAAGCTGAAGGTACCGTTACCGGGAGGGCCGGGATGCGGCTTTCTGGAGACCGAGTTCTGCACGGGGTCCTGCGCCGCCTCCTGCGTGTTTCCCATTAGGCGCTTGCCTTCCTTCCCGGCTCCCGTTGCAGTTCTGTGCCTCCTTCCTTAGGCCCCCCGTAAAACCCGTTCTCCTCAGGGTTTTATCGCTTCGGCTCTCTTCTCGTTCTTTAGTATCTGTCACACTCCCCGCTCGGCTGTGGCGCCTTCTTCTGTCTTTTGTACTGCTCTTTCCTCATTAGATTGCGTTACGTCAGTGGTCCTCGCCCGTGGCCCGTGCGGACCCAACATTACGTTTTCTCCTCAGCGTGACGCGTTCTCCTCCAGTCCCGCAGCTGAGGTTCCCCGCTGGCGTAGAGGGGCGTCTTTGCGTGTGTTTACCCGAGCATGTCCCAGACAACCCGGAGCCTGTTTCCATCCTCTCTCAACTGGCGGGGTTACGCCCCCGTCCTCGAATCTGGAGCCAGAGAGAGGCCTTCAGATAGGTTCCCCTGGAATTCGGGGCGAGGCAGCTCCGAGTGTGTGAAGTTTGCGTTTTCTCAGGAGGGTCTCAGCCTGCTGCCCTCCCTTGAGACTGTTCTACCCCCAGAGAGAAGGTATAGCTGTAGTATTTTGGAAATGTATGAAATATGTTTGAAAACATTAGGATTTTGCTTGTCCTCTTTATCATTGGGAAGGGCCCTGGGTCTCTTGGTGTTATTATTATTTTTTAATCTATGTTTGTTATTTACGTGTCTGTGTCTGTGTGAATGTATGCCCGAGGAGGTTGGAAGAGGGTGATGGATCTCCTGGAGCTGGAGTTACAGGCAGTTGTAAGCAGCCTGATGTGGGTGCTGAGAAAGAGAATTGGGGTCCTCTACAAGAGCTACTACTCTTTTTGTGTGTTTGTTTGTTTGTCTTTTCCAAGACAGGGTTTCTCTGTGTAGTGTTGGTGCCTGTCCTGGATCTCGCTCTGTAGACCAGGCTGGCCTCTGCCTGAAGGCATGTGCCACCACCGCCCAGCGCAGTAAATGCTCTTACCCGCTGAGCCATCTTTCCTTGGTGTCACTTCTTGGTGACTTTCTGAACCACAGGACCTATTTTGAGTTGTAAATTTTGGTAATCGTACTTCTCGTATATTTCGACTTACATACACTTCGATGATTATTCTGTCAGGACAGTAATTCTTCTTAGGAAGAATTAAGAAACCATGTTGATTATTGTTTGTGTTTTCACAAGTAGCTTTGCCATTAGTTGTTTTGGTCACCTTATCCTGGAAACCTGGTACAAATCAAACTTACTCAGTAAAAACTAAAAACTGTTCTATTTATTTATTTATTGAAACAGGATCTCACTGTGTAGCTCTAGCTGGCCTGGAGTTCACCGAGATCCTCCTATCTCTGCCTCCCAAGTGTTGAGATTAAAGGCATTCACCATCATGCCTGGTTTGTTTTGTTTTGTTTTTTGTTTTATTTTAATTACTGTATTGAGATAATTTTTCAAGAAGATTATTTATGTGTACGGGCATTTTGTTTGTATGTATGTCTGTGTGCCTGCAGAATTACAGACAGTTGTTAGTCTCTGTGTGTCCTGGGAATTGAACCTGGGTCCTTTGAAAGAACAGCCAGTGCTCTTAAACTGTTGAGCCATCTCTCCAGCCCTGAAAACTTCTTTTATACTTAAAAGTTGGTAATTGGGTCTGGAGAAATGGCTTAGTGGTTAAGAGCACTTGCTCTTCTGGAGGACCAGAGTTTGGTTTCCAGCACCTACGTCAAGTGGATCACAACCACCTGGACACCGGCTCCAAGAGCTGATCCTCTCTACAGGTGTCCTTAGGCACCTGCTTCTGTGTGTGTGTCACACACACACACACACACACACACACACACACACACACACACACACACACACACAGAGAGAGAAAATCACTTTTAATCTTGAAAAAACCTTAATAATTGTTGAGTTTTTTTGTCCTTCTTAAAAAGTGTAAGTGAAGTGTGTGTAGAAAAAGTCCCTGTGGGCTGGAGAGATGGCTCAGAGTTAAGTTAAGAGCACTGGCTGCTCTTCCAGAGGTCCTGAGTTCAGTTCCCAGCAACCACATGATGGCTCACAACTATCTGTAATGAGATCTGGTGCCCTCTTCTGGCTTGCAAAGCATGCACACAGAACACTGTATTTATAATAAATAAAATCTTTAAAAAAAAAAAAAAAGAAAGAAAAGAAAGAAAGAGAAGAAAATGTCCCTGTAATTTAATCTGTTCAGGTGATATGACCTTTTGACAGCAATATGTTTCTTAACTATTATACTCCCAACCTCATTAGTGGATTTTTATGTTATTTTAGTTACTGTTAATTGATGGTGCTGAAATGAATTATCAGTGGTTTCCTAATGATTACTTGAACAAGTAAGAAAAATTTAGCAACTACTCCATTTTATTTATCTGTATAAGTTACGTAGTTCTGTACTGTTATACATATTATAAAATATACACAGAAAATTAATTTTTAGGTGAAAGAGATTAAAAATTAGTGTGATATCTTATGTTTTCTTGTTCATTCCCCTTTTTAAATCTTGGAGTAAGTCACTAGTTGTTCTATGACTTTCCTTTATGGATATTATATTTGCTTAAGGAGTTCCTCCTTCTAGCATATTAATATTTGTTACTTCAATAAACTTGCATTTGGTTGAATAAATCCATCTAATGTCTTCTGACCTGATTTCAGGTGCTGTATAGTGTTCAGAGCACATGAGGCGCTCCTGAGGGCCTAGCAGGACTCACTCTTTAATCATGTTTGCTTGTCTTTGCTTTTTCTCTAGAGCACTCCTTAAACTTTTGGAGGTCACAGATATCTTTGAAACTCTGATGAAAGGTATGGACCCTCTCCCCAGAAAAAGGCATGTACAGTACTTTGCATGCAATGTAAGGGGCTCTATAAAATTACCTTGTAGCCCTGAGGAGTCCATAGACCTCTGGTTAAGAACCCATATAAATTCTGGCTTTGAAGACAATGTTAGACTCTAATGTTGATCTTGATTGAGTAGTCTAACTTTTTGGATTGACTTAGAGTTTTTATTTTATTTCATTTATCTTTGAGACAGGGACTATGTAGCTTTTGCTGGCTTAGAATTTGATATGTATATTAGGCTGGCCTAGAACTCACAGAGATCTGCCTGTCTCTGCCTCCTGAGTGCTGGGATTAAAGGTGTGTGCCACCACCGCCTGGTCTGATTTAGGATTTTTAATACCTTAAAAAAAAAAAAAAGAAAAGAAAAAGAAAAAGAAAAACACTTTCCACTGGGGAGTGGTGGTCGTCCCCCCCTTGCTCCCGTCCCCCTCCCAGACAGGGTTTCTCTGTGTAGCTTTGGAGCCTGTCCTGGAACTCACTTTGTAGACCAGGCTGGCCTTGAACTCATGGTAGTGCTACCTTTAATCCCAGTACTTGGGAGGCAGGGGCAGGCAGATCTCTGTGAGTTCGAGGCCAGCCTGGTCTACAGAATTAAGTTCCAGGACAACTTGGGCTAAACACAGAAAAAAACTGACTTGAACTTCCTCCCCGCCTCCCCCCCAAAAAAAAGTCAACTCTTTGGAAACCTGGCATTGTGGTGCATGTCTCTAGTCCCAGCACTTGGGAAGCAGAGACATGTGGATCTCTGTGAATTCCAGGCTAGCTTGGTCTACATAGTGAGTTCCAGGACAGCCAAGGTGACATAGAAAGACCCTGTCTCAAAAAACCGAAGTTCTTTCCATTTTTATAAAGAGAAATTGGGACTTTAGTTCAGAGGAAAGGAACAAGCTTTGAAGTATGAAGGATTAAAACATCTGCATTGATACGTAAGTCCTTATCAAATGCAAATTTCTGAAAAGTTGGTAGCAATATAGTCCTTCTGACTCAGTTGGAAAGACTGAATTGTAGTTGAGAATGTCTTGAAGTAGAACAACCAGATTTATAATTAATCATGATAAAAGGAACTCGATGGTGGAGAGAACCAGAAGGTATATAATAGCGTTGAGAACAGTGAAATATTTGTGTTATTGAAACATGAAGTATGTCAACATTGATGTTGCTGATAGTTCGGAAAGTTAGTAAAACTGTGGTTATAAAAGTAAATTAGGGCCGGGCGGTGGTGGCGCACGCCTTTAATCCCAGCACTTGGGAGGCAGAGCCAGGCGGATATCTGTGAGTTCGAGGCCAGCCTGGGCTACCAAGTGAGTTCCAGGAAAAAGGCGCAAAGCTACACAGAGAAACCCTGTCTCGAAAAACAAAAAAAAAAAAAAAAAAAAAAAGTAAATTAGAGTAGTGTTGGGGTAGGGGTTCTTGTTGTTATTTGTTTTTTAATCTTTGTGTGTTCCTTTGTATGAATGCAGGCATCCACATTTGTGGAAGTTAGAAGACAATCTCTTGTGTCCATTTTTACCTACTACCGTGTTTAAGACAGGATCTCTTTTTTCATGCTGCCTATGCCAGGCGAGTTGGCCTCCCAGCTTCTGAGGATTTTTCTGTGTCTGCCTCCACTGTAGGAGTGCTAGCTCCTCTGATTGTCGGTGGGCTCTAGGGATCAAAACTCAGGTCCTGCTGAACTGTTCAAACCTTCTTCTCTTTTTTTAGGTTGAGATAGGGCTTCTCTCTACTCCAGACTAACCTTAGGCTCAAGGTGATCCTTAACTCAGACAAAAAGAACCTTCTTTTTGTAACTGCCCTGGCTTTCTGGAACTCTCTGTAGACCAGGCTGGCCTCGAACTCACAGAGATCCACCTGCCTCTGCCTCCCGAGTGCTGGGATTAAAGGCATGCGCCACCACTGCCTGGCTAAAAAGAGTCTTAACTTGTATAAGCAGTTTGTGTGTGTGTGTGTGTGTGTGTGTGTGTGTGTGTGTGTGTGTGTGTGTAACAGTGCTATATAGCCCACATTGGTTTAAAATTTATGATCCCCTTGGCTCCATCACCTCTCGGGTGTTGGGATTTCATGAGGTGTAGCTTGTTCAGTAGGAGGCAGGAGTTCTGTTAACTACTCAGTCATCTATCTCTGTAGCCTTGAGCAGTTTTATTCTTGTAGCTGTAGCATAGGTAGGGAAGCTTTTGAAAATTTGAGAGGAGGAGACTGATCTGATCAATTTGTGTTCTTTTGGCAGTGTTGAGGATGGGCTCTAGAGGAAAGACTTCTCTGGTTAGGACTATTACCATGGTCTCTTCTGCCTCAGAGGGCCTTTTTATTATCTCTGCTAATCTCTTTATTCTACACTATCACCCTCCAACTACCATGCATAAGTTATTTCTTCAAAATGAATTTGTTCTTCATTTGCTGACATACATGCTGTGTGGCAAGCACCAGTTGATGACATTTATATATGTTAGCTGATTTTATTCTCATAATAACTCTGTAAAGTAAAATGCCTCTACATCCTCATTTCAGAAGAAAAACTGAGGCCCTGATATAGTAATAGATTAATTTGCCCTAGTTCTAATATGCCCTAGTTCACTTATTACAACTAATAATTGGCTTGTCAATCCAAGCAGTTTGTCTCCAAAATTCATATTAAATTTCTTTTAAATTTTCACTTTATTGTGTGTATGTGTCTGAATGTTGGCTTGTATGTGCCGTGGCATACATGTGGACAACAAAGGACAACTTTGGGAGTTTGTTCTCTCTTCCCACAGTGGTGTCAGTGGGTAGAACTCAGGTTGCTGGGCTGGCATGTCAGGTGAGCACTTTCAGGACGGTGTAGAATTGGTGGAACAGACCAGTTGTGAACTGTGTGAGTGCTGGGAATCAAACCTGGGTCTCTGGAAGAGCCGACAGTGCTCTTAACCGCTGAACCATCTCTTAGCCCTCACATTCTTTTTTTTTGTTTGTTTTTCGAGACAGGGTTTCTCTGTGTAGCTTTGGCACCTTTCCTGGAACTCACTCTGTAGCCCAGGCTGCCTCTGCCTCCCAAGTGCTGGGATTAAAGGCGTGCACCACCACCACCCGGCCAGCCCTCACATTCCTTTTTTGTGTGTGTATATGTTAGGGTGGGTTGTGCCATGTCATACTTGGAGGTCCAAAGGAAACTGTCAGGACTCTCCTTCCACTATGTAGGTACTTGGGTACTCAGATGATCAGGTTACTTTGTGTAAACACTTTTAATCAGAGCATGTGGGAAGCAGAGGTAGGTGAATCTCTGAGTTTGTTGTGGCCAGGCTTGTCTACATAGTGAGTTAGAAGACAGCCAAGGCTATGTAGAGAGACTCAGTCTCAATAAAAGAGGTTATTTAAAAACAAAGCAAAACAGAAAAACAGAGTGGTGGTGAATGCCTTTAATCCCAGCCTTCAGGAAGCAGAGGCAGGCGGATCTCTGTTAGTTTGAGGCCAGTGTGGTTTACAGAGTGAGTTCCAGGACATCCAGGGCTATACAGAGAAACCCTTTCTAGAAAAAACAACAACAAAAAACAGTGTCTTGCTATGTAGCCTAGGCTGGCTTGGAACTCTGTTGTTCCTTAAACTCATGGTCTTTCTGCCTCTACCTATGAGTGTTAGGGGTATAAGCATGAGCCACTACGCTTGGTTTACTAGTTTAAATGTTCATAATTATCCTATAAAATTGGTTCTGGTATTCCCATTTTATAGGTAAGGAAACTGAGGCATAAGACTATACATTAATTTCCAGTAATACCTAGATGTAGGTGGTAAAGGTAGAATTAAATCTAGCTTGTTTTTAGTGTGACCTCATTGTTGAGACTGAGCGCTATCCTTCTTGTATGTATGGGTATGTATATGAGTGTATAGTGTATGCATTCATACATGTAGAGGCCCAAGGTTGACTTTAGACATTTTCCTCTTTTACTTTTCGCCTTATATGAGGATTCCCCAGAGCAAGCTGGCGACTAGATTGACTATCCAAAACGGCAAGTTCTGAGTTCAAGTGAGAAATCCTGTCTCAGTATATAAAGTGAAAAGTATTGCGGAAAACACCTAAAGCTGTAAGCTGTCAGCCTGTAAGCCTGGAGTACACAGTACGGTGGCAAACGAGAAACTCTGCCTCAAATAAGGTGGAAGGTATAGAGTGACACTCAGGGTTGTCCTCTGATCTCTACATTGTGGTAGGGTATGTGCACACCTCTATACATGAACATGAACACAAACAAGTATTTAAAGAGTGTATATCCATCTTAGGAAAGCTATTGCATAGTTTAATCAAGCATCTATAATTTCAGTTGTGTATAATCTCCACTTATTTTTGGTGGTAACTTCTTTCCCTAAAACCCTAAGGTCCTTATCTTTTTGCTTGTTCTTAATATTTATTTTTATGTGTATGAGTAGTTTGCCTCCATGTGGGTACACCATGTTCGTGCAATGCCCTTTGGGGCCAGAAGATGGAGGTGGATCCCTCCTGGAGTTGGCTTTGCAGATGGTTGTGAGCCATGTGGGTGCTGAGAACTGAACCTGCATCCTCTGCAAGAGCAGTGAGTCTTCTTTACTGCTGAGCCGTTTCTCCAGCTCCAGCAGAATGTTTTTTGTTTGTTTTTTTTTTTTGTTTTTGAGACAGGGTCCCACTATGTCACCCTGGCTGGCCTGGAACTCTATGTAGGCCAGATTGGCCTTGAGCTTACAGAAATCCAGCTGTCTCTGCCTCCTGAGTACTGGGATTAAAGACATATGCCATCACACCTGACTGTCTTTATTTTTATTTCTATTTGTGTGCATGTGTGTATATTTGTATGCATGTGTGCCATGTGTGTGGGTACCTGTGGAGACCAGAAGAGGCTGTTGGATTCCCTGGATCTGGAGTTACAGGCAGTTGTGAGCTGTCTAACATAGGTGTTGGGAACCAGAGTCCTCTGGAAGAGCAGCAAACTTTTAATCACTGAGCCATCTCTCTAGCCTCTGGCTCTCTTTTTTTGATAAACTGTTGAGCCAAATCTTCATTCATTTACAATAATTTGTGTGTGTGTGTGTGTGTGTGTGTGTGTGTGTGTGTGTGTGTGTGTGTTCATGGGCAATATGGAGCACATGTGGAGGGTAGAGGACAGCTCCCTGCCACACGGGTCTCAGGGATGGAGCCCACTCATCAGGCTTCGCAGCAAGTGTCTTTACCTGTTGAACCGTGTATCGGCCCTCTACTAGTTTTTGTATGATTGAAGATTTGAATCTTAAATAGAAGATTTCACATATATATCTACTTTTATTTTTATTTTTTGAGATGGGGTCTCATATAACTCAGGCTGGTCTTAAACCCACTATCTAGCTAAGGATACCTTGACCTTTTCTGATTCTTCAGCTTCTATCCTCTGAGTCCTGTATTACAGGCATGTATGTGCCAGCTCTTCCAGCTCACTCCGTCTATTTATGCATGTGGCACTGAAGATCAATTCCAAGACATCATATATAGCAAGTAGTCACTTTTACTGAGTTATACCCCTCTTTTTAAATTTAAAAATGTTTCTTTTAGTTTTTGAGATTATAATATAATTACATCATTTACCTTTTCCCTTACCTCCCTCTAAACTCTCCCATGTACCCCCTTTTCAAATTCATGGTCCCTTTTTTTTCATTATTATTACATGCATATGTCTTTCTACATATACACACCTAAATATGTAAGTACAACCCGCTCAGTCTGTATGTTACTTTTTTGTATATTTTTAGGGTTGACCATTGGTATTGATAATCAATTGTTACGTTCTCTGGGGAAGACTGTTTCTCCTACTCTCTCAGCATTCCTTGTTGGCTGTAGTTCTTTGTGTGGGGTTGAGGTTCCTAGACTTGCCCCTCCCTCCATGTTAGTGTGTTTATTGTCTTTGTTCAGCTCTTGTTAGGCAGTCATGTTGAGACCCTATGAGTGCAGCTTCTGACGGTCTTAGAAGGCATAATGTCACAGCAAACTTAAAATTTTAATTGTGTGTCTGTGTGTGGGCATTGTGCATGTGATGCAGGTGGCCAGAGAGCCCCAAGGAGGAAAGAAGAGGTTGTTAAATTCTCTGGAGTTACAGGCAGTTTGGAGACTTCTGATGTGGGTGTCCTTTCTCTTAGTCCTGTCAGTTACCCATTGTCATTCCTTCTGTAGTCTGTAAGATTGGTAAGTATACATTTTCACTGATTTAAAAAGTGTGTGTCTGGGAGAAATGGAGACAGTTTGTTAAGAAAAAGGAAGCATGTCTAACAATGGAATGGGGACAGAACTGGGATAAGTCCCTAGGTTTCCAGTATCGTGACCCTCCCTTTTAAGTCAGTTATGTAGGAGGTACCTGCTCCTACATTTGTATATCATGTGCGTTTCTCAGGTGTGCTTTGTCCTTACAGATAATCCTGATGAGGTAGGATTTCCAATCTTTTCGCCATCTGGCTTCTTTTTTTCATATGTTAATATTTTTCAGTGTTTTTATTAGCATATATTAGTTGTTTATAAAAACGTGTCTCATGTAGCATCTTTATATATGTACATAATATATTTTGATGATATTTAGGTACCCCTACCTTCTCTTGCCCCCTTCTCACTCCCACTAATCCTCTTCCTCTTCCCAACTAGTCCCCCTTCCACTTATGTAGTTTGTTTTTTTTCCTGTGGCCCAGTGAGTTTCATTGGGTAGGGTTATCTGTAAGAGCACCAGTGAGTTTCTTTATGGGAGCATGAACACTACCATTGGTTTCACCACTGAAGAAATCCCCCATGGACCATTAACTGTGTATAAATTCTCAGAGAAGATCCCCTTGCTCTTGCATGGCAAGGAGCTGATGTGGTCCAGTTTTGTGCATATCCAGGAAATCATAGCTGCTGTGTGATTTAAGTTTTTAATAGGGCTGGGACATGTATAGTTCTAGAGCTAGAGTAATTGCTCAGTCCGTTTAAGGCTCTGGATTTGATATACAGCACAGCAACAGCAAATAAAAACCTAAACACTACGCTATGGGAGGGTGTTAAATTACTTTCTGTGGTGATGTAGATAAAGCCTTTAGTTAGTTCATGGTTGACATTAAGCCAGCTAACACATCAATCTAACTCTACAATGATTATTTTTATAGATGTGTGTGTGGTATATTGTAATAACACCTTTGGGATAATAGGTGTTAATTAGTCAATTTTCTACCATTTTGACAAAATACCTGAGGCTGTACTTTATAAAGAACAGAGATTTATTTATTTCCCAACTTTGGAGACTGAAAGTCGCAGTAGCATAGTGTTGCCCTGGTATCAGTGTCATAGCATATGACATGATGGTGGCAGCAACTTTTATTTACTTATTTATTTATTTATTTATTTATTTTGTTTGTTTGTTTTGAGACAGGGTTTCTCTGTGTAGTTTTGGTGCCTGTTCTGGATCTCGCTCTGTAGCCCAGGCTGGCCTTGAACTCACAGAGATCCGCCTGGCTCTGCCTCCCGAGTGCTGGGATTAAAGGCGTGCGCCACTGCCACCAGGCTGATGGCAGCAATTTTGAGGAGAGATTACATGGCAGGACCAAAAGCCTGCAGTTAGTGAGAGTTCAGGACAGTTGGTAAGATTAATATTGTGTGCCACTAGGTCAGGCTGCTCCACCTCTTAATAGTCCCAGCATGACTACACTGAGGACCAAGCTTCCGACACAAACTGTGCGGGAAGACACACTTTTACCATACCAGACTGTAGCTGGATGGTAGGGACAGTCTCCATTTAGGACACTGGATTTTCTGATTGAAGATTGAAAATCCCTCCCGCCCCTCCCCAGTTAGTGGCAGAGTAATCTTTTAGAACTGTCCCCCTTAGTTATTTAAAAAAAAAAAAAAAACAGTTGTACAAATAGATTATAATTTTACTAAAGTGTGATTTTTTTCAATGTATGTTAGAAAGTCCTACTGTATATTGAATGTTGTTAAAGGAAAAATAAGCTACCTTTGTGGATCCAGAGTCTTGGTCAGGGATAATAATTGCAAGTTGGGAATTGACCTTTATCATCATCGTGATCATTATCCTCTCTTTTGTGAGAACCACCTCTTTTCATTCATTGGAATTTAAAAAGTTGTTTGTTTGTTTGTTTGTTTGTTTTTTCCCAGCTTGCTGAACTAAAGCAAGAATGTCTTGCTCGTGGTTTAGAGACCAAGGGAATAAAACAAGATCTTATCAATAGGCTCCAGGCATATCTTGAAGAACATGGTGAGTACTTTGTGGAGGAAACATGATATGAGGGAAGCAGTAAGTTTCAAGCTCTGACACTGAAAAGATTTCTTCCTCTCTTAGGTCATTGGTGATGTAAGGTCTAAATTAACAACATCAAGAAAACTTTTAGAGATGGTCATGGTGGCTCATGCCTCTAATCCTTGCACTTGGAAGGCAGAGGCAGGAGGATCACCTCAAGTTCAAGGCCAATCTGATTTACAAAGTAAGAGTCTATCTCAAAAAAAAAAAAAAATTACCAAAAAATACTATTGGGCTGAGCTGGATGGTGTAGTACATGTCTGTAGTTCAGTACCCAATAGGATGAGACCTGAGAATCAGTTTGAGGCCAGCCTAGGCTACAGAGTGAGTTCAAGGTCAGCCAGAGCTATATAGTGAGACCCTGTCTCAAAAAAACTATATGTGTGTGTATTAAAATATTTTATTTGTTGTATACTGAAGAGATGGGGTCTTGTCATGTTGCCTACTTGGCTGTGGTTATTTTAGCATGTTATTTAAAAATCATCATGGAAGGGGCTGGAGAGATGGCTCAGTGGTTTAGAGCATTTGTTGCTCTTGCAGAGGACTTGGATTCAGTTCCAGATATCCACATCGTGACTCAAACCATCTGCAACTCCAGTTCCAGGGGATCGGATGCCCTCTTCTGGTGTACATGATGTATATACATAACATGCAGGCAAAATACTCATACATATAAAATAAGTAATATTTATAAAATTAGCCAGTCCTGTAATCTCAGGTGCTTGAGAAGCTGGGGTAAGAGAATCAAAGTTTGAGGCCCAGTTGAACAATTTGGTGGGGCCATACCTTTAGTGTGTGTGTGTGTGTGTGTGTGTGTGTGTGTGTGTGTGTGTGTGTGTGTATGATGTATATATGTATATATGTATGTATATACAGTGCTATCATGCTGTCACTAGTTTAAGAGTTTGAAGGCTTTAATTTTAATCTATCTTGTCCAAAAGTTCACTAAATATGTTTGAACAGTCACTGTTTACATAGCTAAGTGTTTATCTTTCACAGTATCAAAGACAAGTGTCTGGACCCTTGAAATCCTTAAACTAGGTAATCTCTGGTTCCTCCTGGCCCTCATATCCCCCTATTCTACCTTGAAAATAAATAGCCCCCTCCATGTAAGGTGCATTTTATCATCCCAGTTTGTACACATCTTTCTAATTTTTATTTATTCTCTTTTATTCCCATTCCTCGTTTTACTTCCTTTGAATACTCTTAGACACCCATTCTTATGTATTTGATATAGTCAGGATACATTCAGGGGCTGGAGAGATGGCTCCGTGGATAAGGGCATTTGCTTTGCAAGCATGGGGACCCGGATTTGAATCCTAGCACCCATGTAAAAAGCTGGATGTAGTCTCACAAGCCTGTGGGTGCTGTGGGTGTGAAGACAGGAGGATTCCTTAGGCTTGCTGCCACCAGGCTAGTTCCCGGTTCAGTGAGATACCCATCTCAAAGAATAAGGTGGAGAGCAGTTGAGCAGAACACCTTTGGCCTATACATGTGCACATGTACACATGCATCACATAGATGCAAACATATAGAATCAACATACAAAATAAGATATGTGTGGGAGCCCGTTCTCGGGTTCCTCGCGGCTTTACCCAGCAGGTCCGCATAGAGGATGATTAAACCACGGGCCTAAGTGCAGGTGTCTGGGATGGTCTGCACTTGGCTGTGCTGGGGGAGGAGGTCTTTTGCTCCACCCCTTGGCATCTCTATAAAAACCCTGGGGCAAAGACAGTCAGGGCCCGTTGGAATAGGTTCCAGGCCCTCTCGAGGCTATCCTTTATTTTCTATCTGTTTATCTCCTCGATATTCTCCGCAATAAATCCTTCTATCTAATATTTCCTGCTGCTCGCACTCAAGAAAACTCTGGGGAACTGTGGGGGTGGTTGGGTAAACGCCCCACAGATATGTTGCCTAATACAATATTTTAATTTCTATCATTGGTATGGGTATGTCTCACTTTTTTCTCTAATTATTATTATTACTATTTTTGTTTGTTTGTTTGTTTTTCGAGACAGGGTTTCTCTGTGTAGCTTTGCGCTGTTCCTGGATCTCGCTCTGTAGACCAGGCTGGCCTCGAACTCACAAAGATCCGCCTGCCTCTGCCTCCCGAGTGCTGGGATTAAAGGCGTGCGCCACCACCGCCCGGCTATTATTACTATTTTTAAGTTGTATACATGGGAGATCTGGGGAGATGATCTAGTGGGTAAGGACTCTTGCTGCATAATCATGTGGGCTTGAGTTTGGTTCCCTAATACCCAAGTGGGAGTTGGGTATCTGTGTAGGTCTGTAACCTCAGCCCTGGGGAGTAGCTGTGGGCAGATCCTGGGAGCTTTGTGGCTGGAAAGCTCTGGGTTCAGTGAGAGACCCTGTCTCAAGGATGTGAGACAGACCACGTTAGAGCAGGATGCTTAACTTCTTCTGGACTCCACACACATACATAGGTGTACTCACCTGCATACATACTCACACACACCCACACACAGAAATAAACTAAAACTTGTATCTTTGGCATGAGGTTTTGTGGTTATTTGCTTTATTCATTCCATTTCTAGAGTGGCTTTCTGTGGTATATAGTCACCACATTTAAAAAAAAAATTATTACATTTATGTGTGTCTGTGTGTGTGTGTGTGTGTGTGTGTGTGTATGTGTATGTATGTACACATGCCGTGGTGCACATCCCAAAGTCAGGTGGATGACAGCTTTCAGGGTCAGTTCTCTTCTATCATGTGGATCCCAGGGATTGAATTCATGTTATCAAGCTTGGTAGCAAATATCAGAGCCATCTCACCGGCCAAGTTACCACGTTCTTTGTTCCATTCCTGGACAGACACCTGTATTTCCTCCAAGCCCTAGGTGATTTAGTGCTATGAGTATGTAATATATAGTACTGTATATTACATATTATTATTATTGTTAGGATGTATGGTTCTCTTATAAACTACTTTTCTCTATGTGCCTGTGAGATTATATAGTATATACCTAGATTAATATTGTAATTATTATATATCCACAAATGTATAAATATGTATTTAATATGATTTAGTACTGCCAAGTTGCTTCCTAAAATTGCCTTATAAATATTAGGATATCAGGATTCTTTTCCTTTTTTTTTTTTTTTTTTTTGGTTTTTCGAGACGGGGTTTCTCTGTGTAGCTTTGCGCCTTTCCTGGAACTCACTTGGTAGCCCAGGCTGGCCTCGAACTCACAGAGATCCTCCTGGCTCTGCCTCCCGAGTGCTGGGATTAAAGGCATGCGCCACCACCGCCCGGCCTTTTCCTTTTTTTTGTTTTTTGGGTTTTTTGTTTTGGGTGGTTTTTTTTTCTTTTTTTTTTTTTTTTTTTTTTTTTTTGAGACAGGGTCTCTCCGTGTGACAGCCCAGGCTGTCCTGGAACTTGCTTTGTAGACTAGGCTGGCCTCAAAACTCACAGAGATCTGCCTGCCTCTGCCTCCTGACTGCTGGGGTTAAAGATGTGCACCACCACCATCCAGCCAGGTTTTTTTTTTTTTTCTTTAAAAAATAAAAATATTTATTTTGAAAAGGTTTTATTTGGAGCTAAAGAGTTGGCTCGGTGGTTAAGAGCACTAGTTGCTCTTGTAGGGGACCCAAGTTCAGTTTCCAGCACTTACATAACAGTTCGCAACCATTTCTAACTCCAGTCCTGAGGAGGATTCCCCCTTCTGGCCACCAAGGCCACTACATACGTGTGCACAGACAAACAGGCAAAACACCCATGTGCATTAAAAAAAGATTCAAAGAATTAAAAGGAAAAATTATTTTTATTTCATTTATATGGGTGTGTGCCTGTGTGTATTTATGTACTGTGTGTGTGCCTAGTGCCTGAGGAGGCCAGAAAAGGGTGTTGGATCCCCTGGAACTAGAGTTAAAGGTAGATGGTTATGAGTGGTCATGTAGATGCTGGGAACCAAACCCAGGTCCTCTGCAAGTGCTCTTAACCACTGAGCCATCTCTCCAGCCCACTCAGGGTTCTTTTATCTACACAAACCTATATTTGGCATTATCCTGTCAAGCGGCCTAGTTTTGCTAATTTGTTTAAACTACCTCTGTTCCTGGTTTTGTGGGTTTACTGCTTGCTCACAAGTGCTAGAATGGCAGGCATGGACTACCTTGCTGGTTTTAAACACAAGTATCTTTGTCATTGGTCTTTTATGTTTTTTCCCCTGGGTATTTTTTAGTAGTGCATAGTTTTGAAAATAATATTTTCTCTTATTTTGTATGTGTGCATGTATATGTGTATGGGTGTCCAAGGAGGCCAGTAGAAGGTATCAGATTTCTTGGTGCTGAGATTACAGGTAGTGTGAGTTGCCCGATTTAAATGCTGGAATCTAATTAGCAGCAAGTACTCTTCTGAGCCAACTCTTCAGTACCTACCATTTTGTTTGCTTGTCTGCTTATTTTTTAAAGAACTCCTTTCCCACTACTAAATCTCTTGTTGTTTTGCTTGTGAGCCACTAATGGCAGAGGCATCTTTCTAGCCCTCCACCACTTTCAGAGATATTTTCTTTGTTATTCTGTGACACACTCTTTCTCTGTCTCTCTGTCTCTCTCTTGGTCTCCTCCCTCTTGCTCTCACTAGAGGTCAAGCTTGAGTATTGTTCTTAGGAGCCATCACCTTGTCATTTTAGTCGGGCTCTGTCCCTGGGATCTGGCTCTGCCTGGCTCCCCAGGTCTGGGATTACAAGGGTCTACCACCACTACCATGCTTGACATTTTTATGTGGGTTCTGGGAATTGAACTGTTATCTTTACACACACACACACACACACACACACACACTTTTTTTGTTGCTTATTTGAGACAGGGTGTTATATAGCCTAAGCTGGCTTCTGTAACCAAGAATGGCTTTGAATTTACTGATTGTTTTGTCTCTATCTCCCAAATGCTGGGATTATAAGGCATGCACCACTATACCCTGTCCTAATTAGTTTTAAATTAATTTTATAGTGTGACTTCATTACAACCTAATTGCATCTAGTTATTCAGTTCAGATGGAATTCAATTTTATACTTACATTAGATAGAGATCTGGTTTTATCTTCTCTAAATATGGCTTATTTTGTAAAGATTGGTTCTACCATCATTATTGAATATAATTTTGGGAAAGCAAAGAGGTTGTAATGTTATCTATCACAGTGATGAGGATGGCTTTATAGCAGGACTTGACCTGAATGTTTTAATGTTCTTTAGCTGAAGAGGAAGCGAACGAAGAGGATGTACTGGGAGATGAGACCGAGGTGAGTTGGGAAGGTCGTCACTGGCCTGATAATGTGCCACTGCTTTGGCTAAATGGCTTATTGTCCCTCCTTTGAGTTCTTGGATGCTTGAGAGGAATCAAAGACTGGTTCATTTTCGAGTTCTGTGTTGTCTCTTGATGGAACTCCTTTATTTTCTTAATAAACTTTAATTAATGTTTTTGAGCTAGGGTCTCATAGCCCAGGCTGGCCTCAGATTCACTATGTGGCTGAGGATAACCTGAACTTCTTTCTTTCTTTACTTACTTTCTTTGTTGTTTGTTTGTTTGTTTCCTTATTTATTTCCTTACTTATTTATTTTTTTCATTTATTTTACATGCCAACCACAGTTTCCCCTTCCTCCTCTCTTCCCATTCTCTTCCTCCACCTCCTGTCTACTTCCCCATCCACTCCTCATAGAGATCTGCCTGCCTCTGCCTCCCAAGTGCTGAGATCAAAGAAAAAAAATGTGTAAGTGTGTGAAATACTGGGCTCAAGCGCATAGAAAGGAGAACTTTTCGGAACTAGTTCTCTTCCGCCCTGTTTGAGGCAGGGCTGTCTGACTGTTTGCTGAGCTGGGTACTCTGGGCTAGTAACCCAGACCCTTCCTGTCTCAGCCATCCGTCTTGCTGTAGGACTGCTGGGTTGTAGATCAGCACACCGATTCTGACTTTTCCTTAGTTCCAACTCAGGATTTCAAGCTGATACTACTGAAAGGGCCAAGCAGACACCATGACAGGCTACTCAGTCTTCTCTCAGAGATCAGGCCTCAATTTCAGTTTCCTGAGATTTGAGCAAGCAGTTTCTGGGAGGGCCATGAACAAAAGACATAGATAGTCCTTGCAGTAGCTCCCTCTCTGCACGTACTCGTACTCTGACTATTCAAGGTACAGCCAGTTTACTGTCTGGGACCCCTCACCAACTTAGAGCTATGTGCATGGGTCAGTGTGAACATGTGAGGCCAGCCAGTCTCCATGGCAGCTCAAGGACAGAGCCTGGGCCACTGAGTCAGCCCCCACAGTCAGTATGTACTAGGTTAGCCAGCCTCCATGGCAGCTCAAGGACAGAGCCTGGGACTTGTCCAGGCCTGCCCAGAAAAGGTAACTGTAATCCCCAACCAGTAAACTCAAAGGCTACACACTCTCACCCAGTCATATGATGCAAAGGCTTGTACTACCCTGCTTGAGGTTTTTCCCTTTAAAAACCCCTCACCCTGAGAACTCAGGGCTTGCTGCTTATCAGTAAACCCCATGTGGTTTGCACTGGACGTCGGCGCTGTGGTGGTCTTGAGGCACGAGCACAACACTACCAGACTCTTGCCTTCTGACCAGCCATCTTGCTGGCTCTAATGGGTTTCTGTTTTTAAAACTTTTTTTGAAGATTTTATTTTATTATGTAGGTATGTTATTTGCACATGGGTGCAGCGCTTGTGGAGGCCAGAGGCCTCAGATCCCCTGGAGCTGGAGTCATAGGCAGTTAGGAGCTTCCTGAAATGGGTACTGAGAATCAAACTTGGGTCCTTGGGAAGAGCAGTTTGCCTTTTTTTGGTAAGATTTATTTATTATGTATACAGAAGAGGGTGCCAGATCTCATTACAGATGGTTGTGAGCCACCATGTGGGTGCTGGGATGCATTTTTTTTTTTTTTTTAAAGGCAGGGTTTCTCTTTGTAACAGCTCTAGCTGTCCTGGAAATCTCTTTGTAGACCAGGCTGGCCTCAAACTCACAAAGATCTGTCTGCCTCTGTCTCCCGAGTGCTGGGATTAAAGTTGTGTGCCACCACCGCAGGCCCAGTATACACTCTGAAGTGCTAACCCATCTCTCCAGTACCAGTCATGGGTTTGGTTTTTTTTTTTTTTTTTTTTTTTTTGTCTCTATGTAGCTCTGTCTGTCCTGGGACTTGCTCTGTAGACCAGGCTGGCCTCAAGTTCAGAGATCTGTTTGCCTCTGCCTCCCAAGTGTTAGGATCAGAGGTGTACACCACTACCCCCTTGCTCTGAATGGATATTCTTGATTTATGGTAACCGTGTTGTTTCATTTGGTTTTAGGAAGAAGAACCAAAGCCCATAGAACTGCCTGTTAAAGAGGAAGAACCTCCTGAAAAAGCTGTTGATGTGTAATTATTCCTTTCTAATAATCTGGGTTTGTTTTTTTTTTTTTTTTTTAGCCCTGGCTGTGCCTGGAACTGGCTCTGTAGACCAGGCTGTCCTAGAACTCAGAGATCCACCTGCTTCTGCCTCCCAAGTGCTGAGACTAATGGTGTGCACCACCACACCCAGCCCTTTTTAATAATCTAAATAAGAGCAGAAAGTTCTATTTTTTGGTGTGCTAGTGTGTAATATATATGTGGAAGATGATGTCAGGTGTCTACCTTAATCACTGTTAAGCCTAGTTTTTTTTTTTTTTCTTCTTCCTGAGGCAGGGTCTCACTATGTAGCCCTGGCTGTCCTGGGACTCGCTTTGTAGTACAGGCTGACCTTGAACTCACAGAGATCCACCTGCCTCTGCTTCCTGAGTGCTGAGATTGAAGATGTGCACCTGACCTGACTCCACCTAGTTTTTGAGACCAGGTCTCTTACTGGCATGGAGCTCACCCAGAGCAGAGTGACTGTCTAGTGAGGCCCAGGCGTCTCCTGTCTTTACCTTGTAGTGCTGATCTCTAAGGCACCAGCTCCACACCTGTCTTTTTCACAGGGAGACTGTAGCTTGAACACAGTCCCTCTGGTTTTGTATGGCAAGCATTTACCAACTAAATACTTAGACTCCCAGATAGTGCTTTAAAAAAATACTGGTTTAAAGTTTCATTCTGTTTACTTGTTACACATTCCCCCTGACCTTTCATTTCTGATAAGGTCAGGTACTTTTAGAAAGGTCTCCCTGCTTGAGGTATGTTTCCATTGAAAAAAATGAGTTTTTCTCTGTGCTATGTATTAGATAATTAGAACCAGGTTAACTTCAAGACAGGCACAGTTCAGTTCTCCTAGCCTTTGTTCTTTTGTGAGCCACCATAATAGATTATTAGTTTAGAATCTATGATTCCCTGTGCAGTATAAATTTCTTAGCATCAGCCTCTGCCTCCAGAGTGTTGGGATTAAAGGCATGCTCTACCATGTCCAGTCCTGTAAAACCTTACTCATAGAATTTTATACTTTTACAGAAAACTTTACTTTTGTAGAAAAGTGTGAAACTGTGTATAAGGAGTTTTGTCAGAGGGAGAGATTGGTAGAAGCTGTATCTCATGTAAGTTTACCCTCTATGATTTATGATTTACAGTGGAGGAAAAAAAGACAAAATACCGAAGTAGAAAGTAGATTTTGCTTTGTTTAAATTATCCTTCAAGGTTAATCATAAACATTTTATTGGGGCTCTTTTCACACGTTTGTAGCCGTTTTGCACTTTGAGACATCAGGCATGGAGCAGTCCTCCTACCGTCTTTGTTCTTCATAGCAGTGCCGTTAGTTCTGAAACTGGATCTTCTGTGTAGCTCAGCAAGGTGTAAAACTCATAGTCATCCTGTCCTGCCTCCTGATGCTGGTATTGCAGGTGTGTGCCTATAGTTTTGTTAAGTGCATTTTTTTTTTTTTTTTTTTTTTTTTTTTTTTTTTTTTTTTTTTTTTTGGTTTTTCGAGACAGGGTTTCTCTGTGTAGCTTTGCGCCTTTCCTGGAACTCACTTGGTAGCCCAGGCTGGCCTCGAACTCACAGAGATCCACCTGGCTCTGCCTCCCGAGTGCTGGGATTAAAGGCGTGCGCCACCACCGCCCAGCAAGTGCATTTCTTAAAAGGCAGTGTATGAACCTGGGGCTATAGGTCAGTGGTGGAGGGCTTCCATGACATGTATAAGGCCTAGTGTTTAATTCTCAATTTTTAGGATAGCTGGAATAGACCAAAACCTTTAAAATGCAAAATATACAGAGAGAGAGAGGCAGGGAAGAAGGGAAGGTGTTAAATAGATCATAGAAGATTATAGAAGTTGCAGATGAAGGGGCTGAGTATATTGCTTAGTGAAGTACCCTGGATTTGATCCCTTACACCACAAAAAAACAAAAACAAAAAAAAAGCTAGAAAACTCAGGGGCTGAAGAGATGGTTAATGGTTAAGAGTATGTACTATTCCTGAAGAAGACCTGGGTTTGGTTCCCAGCACTCGCATAGTAGCTCACAACCTGGGTGATTCCAGTTCCAGGAGATACAGTGCCCTCTTCTGGCCTTTGCAGGCACTACACACGTGTACATACATATATGCAGGCAAAACACTCAAAACATCTAAAAGGAAATTGAGCACATTCCACGAAACTTTACAAAGGTTTTTAGTAGTTTTTTGTGGGTGTTTAACATGGAGTGTGTGGGTGTGTATTTGAATATGTGGGTACATGTTTAGGTGCTATGCACATTGTTTCCTGATTTTTCTTTCCTATCTGGGAATCTTTTTATATTACATTGATAATTTATTTAAATGTTATATGTTAGACATAATTTTAATATTCTGTTTTAATCCTTGCATCAACCCTATGATGTTAATTGTTCTAGCAAGTGGTCAGTTGTTTGTGATTTTTTTTTTAGCTTGTTATTATAGGAAGTACAAATAAATAATTTAAAAGTTAAGAGAATAGTATAATGAACCCTCTTGTACTTATCATCCAGATATAATGGCTATTAACTTTGGAACCTTATCCTTTCTAGTAATTACACTCGTCTCCTTTGGGTCTGATGAAGTAGCCCAGGCTGGTGTGGAACTTGGCCATTTAGTCAAGAATGACCTTGATCATCTAATCCCAAGTGCTGGGATTATAGACATGAGCAGCCACATCTGGCTTCAATTAATAACTTACTTTCATTGGAGGAATAGTAATTTATCTTATCAGCCTCCTGTTGATAAACATTTATTCGTAAAAACAATAATTATAGTGTTTTATGTCTGTATCCAACTATTCTCACAGTTATTCAAGTCACATCCAGAGGATGAATGTGTACTGGAAGATTTGCTGTATCACACAGAATGTGCATTTATCATTTTGATAGATTTCTGTCAAATACTTATAAAGCTATTAGTTTCTGTCTTAGTATTCTATTACTGTGAAGAGACGCCATGACCATGGCAACTCTTATAAAAGAAAACATTTAATTATGGCTTGCTTATGTTCAGAGGTTTAGTTCATTATCATCATGGCAGGAAGCATGGCAGCACAAAGACAGACTTTGTGCCAAGCATGCACCTACAGCCTCATGAGGTGTAGCCTCTGATCGGGTGACTGAGGAAGAGAAGACTAGGGCCTGGTTGATTGATGGTTCTGTACATTATGTAGGTACTACCCAGAAGTGGACAGCTGCAGCATTGCAACTCCTTTCTGGGACATCCTGAAAGATACTGGCAAAGGGAAATCTTTACAGTGAGCAGAACTTCGGGCAGTATACATAGCATTACATTTTGTTTGGAAAGAGAAATGGCCAGATGTGTGATTGTTCACTGACTGATGGACTGTAGCCAATGGATTGACTGGATGGTCAGGGACTTGGAAAGAGCAGGATTGGAAAATTGGTGAGGAAAACATCTGGGGAAGAACTATGTGATTAGATCTCTCCAAATGGGCAAAGAATGTGAAGACACTTGTGCCCCATGTAAGTGCTCATGAAAAGGTGACTTCCCCTGAGGAAGAGTTCAGTAATCAAGTAGGTAGGATGACCCGTTCTGTGGAGAGTCAGCCTCTCTCCTCTCTCCTCCTTCATTGCCCAGTGAGTCCATGAACAAAGTGGCCATGGTGGCAGAGATGAGGGTTATGCTTGCGCTCAACAACATGGACTTCCACTCACCAAGGCTATCCTGGCTGCATCTGCTGCTGAGTGCCAAATCTGCCAACGGAAGAGACTGACACTGAGCCCCATATATGGCACCATTCTCGGGGTGACCAGCCAGCAACCTGGTGGCAGGTTGACTACATTGGACTACTTCCTCTGTGGAAAAGACCATGCTTTGTTCTTACTGGAGTAGATACTTATTCTGGTTATGGATTTGCCTTTCCTGCATGTAATGAAGCCAAAATCACCATTCATGGACTTACAGAGTGCTTTATCCACTGACATGGTATCCCACACAGTACTGCTTCTGACCAAGGAACTAATTTCACAGCCAGAGAAGTGCCACAGTGGGCTCATGATCATGGAATCCACTGGTCTTACCATGTTCCCCACCATTCTGAAGCAGCTGGCCTAACAGAAAGATGGAATGAACTTTGGTGTTTTGAACACACCGTTACAGTGCCAATTCGGTGGCAGCATCTTGAGGGCTTGGGCAAGGTTCTCCAGAAGGCAGTATATGCTCTGAATCAGTGTTCAGTATATGGTACTGTTTCTCCTATAGCCAGGATCCATGGGTCCAGGAATTAAGGAGTGGAAAAGAAAATAGTTAGGGTCACCGTATCACCCCTAGTGATGCATTAGGGAAGTTTTTGATTCCTGTTCCCACAGCTCTAAATTCTGCTGATCTAGAAGTTTGGTTCCATAGAGGATATAGTAATCCTACCAGGAACCATAACAAACATTCCATTGAACTGGAATATCAGACTTCTCCTTGGTCACCTTGGACTTTTTTTTTTTTAAGATTTATTTATTATGTATTCAGTGCTCTGTCTGCATGTATGTCTGCACTCCAGAAGAGCACACCAGATCTCATTAGAGATGATTGTGAGCTACCATGTGGTTGCTGGGGATTGAACTGAGGACCTCTGGAAGAGCAGCCAATGCTCTCAACCTCTGAGGCATCTCTTCAGGCCCGCTTTGGACTTTAAATGCCCTTAAACCAACAGGCTAAGAAATGAATAACTGTTAGGATGGTTGATAGATTCAGATTACCATGGGGAAATTGGATTGCCTCTCCACAATGTAGGTAAGAAGGATCATGTCTGGACTGCAGGAGCTCCATTAGAGCGTCTCTTGATGCTACTGTGCCCTGTGATTAAAATGAATGGGAAACCACAACAGTCTAATCCAGAAGGGATGATAAACGGCACAGACCCCCCAAGAATGAAGGTATGGGTCATTCCTTCAGGAAAAGACCAAAGACCTGCTGAAGTGCTTGCAGAGGGTGGAGGAAATACAGAATGGGTAGTAGAGGAAGGTAGTTCTAAACACCATCTAAGGCCACATGACCAGTTGACATGAGTGCTTCTGCTGTATTTTGTTAAGAATGCGTTTGTACAGATATTTGTGTTTTCTTTCAGTTTCTTAACATCAAGAGAATATCAGTGGTTATCATATTTAAGTTTTAGATGCTAAAAGGATGTCCCTCAAGGGACATTGCCACCTATTCTAAATTTATAATGCATTTACAATTGTACATGGGATATATATATTTAGGAGTTATTATGACCTGGTTCTTTTCATTTGGAAATTAATCATGATATAAGGAGATATGATTGTGTGTCAAGTTGACAGAGGGTGGATTGTGATGGCTATTCTTGGATGTCAACTTGACTATACCTGGAATGAACAGTCCAGAAATGGAGGGCACACTTGTGATCTAGATCTTGAGGTTGGAAGACAACATGCCTTTGATCTGGATCTTGAGGTGGGAAGACACACCTTTACTCTGGGCCACACCTTCTGATGGAAGCCTATATAAGGAGAATGGAAGAAGGAAGGGTTCATTCATCCTTCACCTGCTTGCCTTGGCCTTGTCAGCACATCCATTCCTTCACTGGCATTGGAGCCTACTTCTTTGGGATTCCAGCATATAATATACAGATAATCAGTTGAGACACCCAGCCTCGTGGGACTGAGCAACTACTAGATTCTTGGACTTTGTGTTGATAGCTAGCGACTGTTGGATTAGTTGGACTGCAGCCTGTAAGTCTTTCCAATAAATTCTTTATATACATATAAGAGAAAGAGAGACTTTCATCTCGTAAGTTCTGTTACTCACGAGAACCCTGACTAATACATTAGGGGAATGCTTTTTGTATGTGACTGGATAGAGAAATTAGTCAATGAAGAATGGAAATTTCCCATGAATCCTATGAGGATGTAATTGTATTTATTGCCTGAGTTTGTGTCTAAAGGAATTGGTATATAATATGAGGAAGTTCCCTCTTGGGTTCCCTTTCTACTCTGAGGTCTACTGTAATGATTGTTTTTCAAGATGTGAACATGGAGGCTGGGACTGTAGTTTAGTTGGTGTGGTGTTTGCCTCGTATGCTCAGAGCCCTGGGTTCAGTCCCCAGCACTGCGTAAAACTAGATGCAGTGTTGCATGTTTATAATCCCAGTGAGAGGTGGAGGCAGAAGGGTCAGAGGTCAATGTCATTCTTGAGCAGTTGTCTCAAAAACAACAAAAAACAAACCAGATGAGAATGTGGAAGTCACTATCCCGAAGTTGATGGGGAAGACTGCCTCTGCCTTCCTCTGCCTCCCAAGCCTTGGGATTTAAAAGGTGTTTGCCACCATATTTGGCTTTTGCCCCTCTATCTTAATCAGGAAAAAGTCACAGAAGTTTGTTTTATTTAAAGTCTAATTTCATTAAAAGAACAGTCTTGTTGGGCCTAATGGCTCATGCCTTTTTTTTGTTTTTGAGTCAGGGTCTCTCTATGTAGACCTGGCTACCGTGAAATTTGGTATATAAACCAGTCTGGCCTTGAACTCACAGAGATCCTCTTGCCTCTGCCTCAAATGCAGGACTTAAAGGTGTGTGCCACCATGTCTGGCTGTGGCCATGCTTTTAATCCCAACACTTAGGAAGCAGAGGGGGGCAGATCAAGGCCAGCCAAGTCTATATTGGAAATTACAGGCCAAGCTAGGGTTACAGGATGAGGCCCTGTCTTAAAAAGAGAAGTAGGGGAGTGTGTAGTGTACATCTGTAATGAGAGGTGGAGGCAAGAGGATTACGAGTGTGAAGATAGCTTTGACCTCATGGGAGAAGCCATGTCTCAGAAAAAAGCAATGAAAAGATGGAGAGTTGATAAAATTTCTTAAAACAGTCTGAATATTTCTGGGCTGATCTGAATCCCTTATATATCCGAAAGGAAATCTCTTTACATCATCTTTGGTCTGAAGTTACGTGTAAACCCCCCCCCCCCCCAAGTCAAGGCTGTTAAATATTGTAAGACTTAGTTATGGTCAGCAGGGGGCATCCATTGCTTGCCTGTTGGTCTGAGGACCTCCAACAAAAGGATGGAGGACAGAGTCAGGTCCTGTTCCAGAATTGCTTCCTCTGAAATGTCATTAAACCATTACTACCTTTCAGGGCATCAAATGGGAAAAGTGTTTAGGATATTGGAACAAAAGCTGCCCATGTCTCTAAATAAGGGGCCTTAATGAGACTGGTTATGACCCACGGTTTTATGGGAGTTGTTTGTTGGAGAGTTAATGCCCTTCCATTTATCCTGGGACTTCTGAACTTTGTCTGCTGCCCCTGTGGTCCCCTTCTTTTGTTTTCTCTTAAACCTTTTGACCAGTAACTCACCATGTTTTCCTGATTCAACACCCCATCTCCTTAGCCTTTTTCCTCCACTTCCTGTGGCAGTTTTGTTTGTTCTGCTTTGACTGTTCTCACTAGAGCTGAAATCCCACGGGAGCAGCAGGGACTTAGAGAAGATCAAAATCAGGGCTTGTACATCACGGTAAAATACTGCGATGAGAGTGGAGAGCTTGCATTTAATTGAAGGTTGGAAAGAGGGTTCAAAAGTCACTGTAAAGTTCCTAAAAGCACATGGAGTGATTTAGTCCCTTTAGCCCAGTTTATTCAGCCTGACTTCTTTGCTGATTACTTTCTGACACCTTAGTTAAAGTAGCTTAGTTTTAATTTTTTCCTCTCAATAGACAACAGTTCAAGGAACCAGAGTTCTTATGGACTTAATGTTTCTTTAGATTAAAGGGTAGTAGACATATATGGGGCAGAGGACATGACTCGGGTAAATTCTTATACATTTCTAAGGTTTTAATTTAAAATAGCAGTTTTCTGATTTTTTTAAAAAATCTCTTTTCCCAGGGCATCAGAAAAAAAGGTGGTAAAAATTACATCTGGAATACCTCAGACTGAAGTAAGTATTCTTTTTAGTAGCAATCCCTGTCTCATTCATTTTTTAAATATTTATTAGGGTGAGGGTGCATGAATGCCATGGTACACATGTGGAGGTCAGAGGACAGTTTTCTGGAGTCAGTTCTAGCCTTCCACTTTGTTGAGGTAGGGGTCTCTCTCTCTCTTTTAAAAACATTTTTAAAATTTGCCTTTTATGGGTGGGCTGGGGGGGAAGGTGAGGGGGGCCATAGCGGGGAGAACAAGGGTATCCGTGGCTGATATGTAGAACTGAATTGTATTGCAAAAAAAAAAAAAAAAAAAAAAAAAACAGGATAAAAAAAATTGCCTTTTATTTATCTGTCAGTTGTGTGGATGAGTGGGTGGGTGTGGTTGCATGTGTAGGTCAGAGGACAAGTTGGGGGAGGTGGTTCTCTTCTAGCATGTGGGTTGCAGAGACCAAACTTAGTCAGCAAACAACTTTACCCCCTGAACTATCTCCCTGGCAAACATCTCCCTGGCATAATCTGGTCTCTAGTCTCTGGTGCTGTGTTTGTTGTGTGCCCCAGGCTGACTGGTCAAGAGCTTCTAGCAGATCTCCACCATCTTGTGACAGGAGTGCTTGGTTTGCAGATGTGTACTAGCACATTTGGCTTTTTACATGGTTCTGGTTTTTTGTTTTTTTAATGTGGGTTCTGGGGCATTCTAGCTTAGGTTTTAGGACTTGCACAGCATGCACCTTCACCCACTGAGTCCCCATCCTCCCCCCCTCAGCCCCCCAGACAGGGTAGGGTTTCTCTGTGGAGCTTTGGAGCTTGTCTTGGAACTCGCTTTGTACATCAGGCTGGCCTCACAGATATCCGCCTGGCTCTGCCTCCCGAGGCTGGAATTAAAGGTGTGCGCCGCCGCTGCCGCCACCACCAGGCTGGTTTTGTTTGTTTGTTTTTTGTTTCTTGAAACAGCATCTTACTGTGTAGCATAAGCTAGCCCCAAATATAATCTTTACAAATCAACCTCCCAGGTGCTAGGATTCTAGGTACATGTCACTGTGCCTGGCCATCTTTTTTTAACCCTTTCTTCTGTCTACATCATTTAAAATTTTTCATTTAGGGCTGTTAATTTGGCTTTGTAGGTAAAGGTACCTGTGGCTAAAGCGACAACCCGAGTTTGATCCCCTGGAACCATATGTTAGAAGGGAGCAAGTGAGTTACATATGTTGTAGCATAGATGCATACATCCATGCATGCACACAAAATTAAAAATAAATAAATGTAAAAAAATTAGTAATAGACAAATTCAATATTGACAATTGATGTTTCTTTCTCTACCTACTCAGGAAAATATTTGGGCTGGCAGGGTGAGCAGTTACCTTAAAACTGTCATCTGCTACATATACCACTGTGGTCTTAATAGTAACTTCACAGGCATAGGATTAGAGTTTGAGAAGTTGTGTCTTGGAAAAGTAGCAATGGTAGATGTTCCCTTTAAATTGTTAGTTAGTAGCTGGTAAGAGTGAAATTTCTTTGGATTCTTATTTCAAGATGTATGAAAACAGGTTTCATTTGAGATCTTGTGTTAAACTTTGTATTTTCAAAGTAGAGGGTTTTTTTTTTTTTTTTTTTTTTGGTAGGTTGGTTTGGTTTTTTGAGATAGTGTTTCTCTGTGTCACCCTGGCTGTCCTGGAGCTCACTCTATAGACCAGGCTAGCCTTGAACTCTCAGAGATCCACCTGCCTCTGCCTCTCTGAGTGCTGGGATTAAAGGCATGTGCCACTACTGCCCTGCTCAAAGTAGAAATTTATGTATTTTAGAATTCAGTCAAGTAGTGTTTTTTTAACTTTTAGATTACTTGTACTGGAACCAAGATGTTCCTTTGATCTTTTTCACAGGGCAACCAAATACAACTTTTGGGTTTTGGGGTTTGTGTAGAATTACTCTTTTTTTTTTTTTTTTTTTTTTTTTGGTTTTCCAAGACAGGGTTTCTCTGTGTAGCTTTGCGCCTTTCCTGGATCTCGCTCTGTAGACCAGGCTGGCCTCGAACTCACAGAGATCCGCCTGGCTCTGCCTCCCAGAGTGCTGGGATTAAAGGCGTGCGCCACCACCGCCCGGCGAATTACTCTTTTTTGTTGTTGTTGTTTTTGAGAATGTGAATGTAATAATAGTTTTGTGTGTGTGTGCACACGTGCTTGCTTTCTGGAAACAGTTGTTGTGTTAAGCCTAAGAATGGATACTACTTGATATGGTCTCAAGTAGTCAGTGTTTTCAGTTAGACCTTAAGAAATGACCCTAACCAGCTTCTTTTTAAACAAGACATTACAGTTTTCTCTATTTTCATCTGTCATCACTTAGAGAATGCAGAAGAGGGCTGAACGATTCAATGTCCCTGTAAGCTTGGAGAGCAAGAAGGCTGCGCGGGCAGCTAGGTGAGTGTTTCTAGCCCTGTGGACACAAGGTGGAGAGGTTTAGTGCAGGAGGTCAGATCTTTGTTTCTAGATATAATTGTTGATTTTAAGTGGAGTAGTGTTCTCATTAAAATTAATGAATACAGTTTGGGCCATAGTCAGAACATTTCTGCTGATTTGAATATTATCGCTTATGCGTTAGTTTTTGTCATCAATGGTCAGGGTTTTTATAATAGGTAAAAGTCAGGAACAGACAGCTGCTCCTGAGTCTGAGGACTTTTAGTGTACTCTTGGACTCTTGGTGAGAAGGAGAGTAAACTGAACCTCTTTCATGGGGTTGTTAGAATTAGCTAATGATTGCAAAGTTTGAGATCACAAGGAAGAAGTGTCATGTACCCTTGACACGGACACAGACAACTAAGAGTGTGAACAGCTTCCTAAAATTCAGCTTGTCTTTTTTCCTACAGGTTTGGAATTTCTTCTGTTCCAACAAAAGGTGAGAATACAGAGGTTCTTCTGAGAAATTTTACTTTCTTTCTTTCTTTTCTGAGAATAGATTTCATTCCTCCAAATTAAAGTAGATTTGTTGGCTCTAGAAGCCCTTAAAGAGTTAATAGCATTTGCACCCTTAAGACCTTAGGAATGATTAAGAGAAGGTTCTGAAATTATGATAGAGGAGATCTCACCATTTGTTTTCCTTTCCTAGGACATCTGAGAAATTTCTAGTATCTTGTTTACTTATTTTTGTGTCTTATTAGCATAAAGTTATTGTGTACTTTTTCAGGGCTCTGAGCTAAACATAAGTACTAAAAGTGAAGGAGACTGTATTTAACGTCACAATTTTACTTTTAAGAGCTTAACAAAGAAGTGATCTTTGATACACTTAGACTTAGCCATGAGACTTAGGTTAGCATCACATATATTGATCAATAATTGGAAAAAAAGTATCTAATATAGGATTAATTAAGTGTATACTGTCGTGCAGTAGACTACGTAAAATGTTCAAATGCTATTTTAAGGGCTGAAGAGGTGGCTCACTGGGTAAAGTGCTTGAGGAGAGTTTGAGCCCCAGAACTCGGATTTAAAAAACAGCAGAATATGGTGATGCGTGCTTATAATCCTAGGGCTGAGCAGGCTGAGGCTGGGGGGATACCTGGGACCTTCTGGCCTGCCAACCTGCCTAATTGGTGAGCTCTAGGCCAGTGAGAGACCCGTCTCAACCAAACAAAACCAAGTGGACAGAGCCTGAGGAACCATGCCTGAGACTGTCCTCTGGCCTCCCATATACACACAAAATATAATATTTTAAGATAGGGTAAAGCAGTGTATTCCTGCAGTTCTAGCACTGAGACTGAGGCAAGAGAATTGCTAGTTGAAATCCAGCCTTAGCTATGTAGTAAAAAAAAAAAAACCTGGCTGGGCAGTGGTGGTGTATGCCTTTAATCCCAGCACTCGGGAGGCAGAGCCAGGTGGATCTCTGTGAGTTCGAGGCCAGCCTGGGTTACAGAGTGAGTTCCAGGAAAGGCTCCAGCTCTAAAGCCACACACAGAAACCCTGTCTCAAAACAAAACAAACAAACAAACAAACAACAAAAAGTCTTAACTGAGGGGTGGTGCACACCTTTAGTCTTGGGAGGCAGAGGCAGGTGGATCTCAGAGTTCAAGGCCAGCCTGGCCTAGAGTTCCAGGACAGTCAAGACTACACAGAGAAACCCTATCTTGAAAAATAAATAAAGAAAGAAAGAAAGGAAGGAAGGAAGGAAGGAAGAAAGAAAGGAAGAAAGAAAGAAAGATGGGGTGGGTGTGGGGGCTGTCTTAAAAAAGAAGCCTAGTGGCTGGGTGTGTAGCTCAGTTTGTAAGGTACTTGCCTAGCATGCAGGAGGCCCTGGTTTTGAGCCCTAGTACTATGTAAACCAGGCGTGACAATGCTTGCCTGAAATACTAGCATTTGGATCGTGGAGGCACAAGGATCAAGTTCATGTCATCATTGGCTACATAGGGTGTTTGAGGTCAACTTTGCATGGGACTCTACCAAAAGAATTCTAGGTGTGGGAATGTAGCTCAGTAGAAGAATGCTTGCCCAGCATAAACAAGGCCCTAGGTTTGATCCTTAAAACCTACCCTCCTCAAAGAAGTATAAAATATTTATCAATTAGGAACATAAATGAAAAGGCAAGTTCTATAATTATATTAGCAAATATGTTACTGTTTTAGTTATAAAAGAGAAAGTATATGGGCATGAAGAAAAGATCAGAAGGATATACACTGATTTGTTTGTATTAATCAGGTCATGTTACTGGAATTTTGAAAGACTTTTTGCTTTTTTTTTTAAATCCATACAATAAATGTGTTATTTTTTAAAAAGAAAATAATAAAAAGGAAAGTTACATATATATACATACATATATATTCTCTATGTAGCCCTGACTGACCTGAAACTCTATATAGACTAGACTGGCCTCTAACTCAGAGAATCCACCTGCCTCTGCCTTCTGAGGGCTGGGATTCAAGGCATGTACCATCTCACATGGCTTCAAAGTTGTGTCTTAGAAAAGAATATAGGACCTGTTCTCCAGGATTTAATGTAGCTACAATCCAATCCTGTTATCTTGTGATCTTTCAGTAATTTAATGTGTTGAGAAAAAATGTCCCAAAGAGGTCGGGTTGCTATACTTACAAAAACACCAAGGCTTGGAGCATAACCCTGGGTTTGTTCCCAGCACTTTATAACAGAATAAGAAAAATCCTGGTTGCCATCACTAATATTTTAGAAATGACATGTTTTGTCGCTGTTGATTATATCAAAAGAAATTCAGTATAATTGGTATGGGTACTACAGAGATGACTTAAAAGATGATGCTTTATGAAGAAAAATAAAAGCAAAAATTAAGCCAGATGATATGGCCCAAGTGCTATAATCCCAGCATTGGGAGGCTGAAGCAGAGTCACCAAGAGTCAAGGCCAACCTGATTTACAGTGAGACTCTGTCTAAACAACTTCAAAGCTGGTCATGGTGGTATACACCTTTGAGCCCAGCACTGGGAGGCAGAGGTAGACCTATCTTTCTGAGTTCCAGGATAGCCAGGGCTATGTAGAGAGACCCTGTCTCAAAACACCACAAAAACAAGACAAAACAATAAAATAAAACAAAAAACAACTCTTCTCTGTACCCCCCCAAAAGCTAAAATTAATAATCTGAAAAGGAAACTTGGTCAATAATGTAATATATAAGTAACATTTGCAGTGTTATTTATACATTCTGACATTAGAACTACAGAATAAGCCGAGTAGTGGTGGTGCACACTTTTAATCCCACCCAGCACTGGGGAGGCAGAGGCAGGAGGATCTCTAAATTTGAGTCTAGCCTGGTCAATAGAGCAAGTTCCAGGACAGCCAGGGATACACAGAGAAACCCTGTCTCGAAAAACAAACAAACAAACTACAGAATGACTCTTAGAAGAATTTAGGAAATGTGAAAGGAAATAATATTTTTTGAACCAGAGCATAAGACAGACACTTAATAGTTCATATATATTTGAATGTCTACAGCGGGAAGCTATGAGAAATAAAGGTTAGTTGAAAGTTTAAAAAGTGTTGTTCTGGGGTAGCCCCCGAGAAGACTGCTCAATAGAAAGGGTCTAAGTCAGTAGAAAGTCGTTATGGGGCTGGAGGGACAGCTCAGCGGTCTGCCAGAGGACCCGGGTTCAGTTCCCAGCACCCACATGACAGTGCACAACTGTCTGTAACTCCAGTTCCAGGGGACCCAACACCCTCACACAGACATACATGCAAGCAAAACACTAATGCACATAAAATTAAAAATAAATACATTAAAAAAAATAAAGTCTTTGCTGATGAATACACTTGGTGTTTGGGATCCCAGTGTATAAGCCTTTCCCAGGGTGAGCTTTTATACACAAAAACTATGTCCTTGGTTGACATACTTCAGTTAACAAGAACAGTTAGCTAGGAGTGGAAAGAACTTCAGAAGCCAAAAAGCAAGGTTAGTACATTTAGAGACTATGGAATTTGATGGATTAGGCCTTTGCTTTAGTTTTGGCAGGTGATGTGGTCTATGTGGTGAGTTTTACAGCCTGAATGGTACTTCCATCCTGGAATCAGTTGTGCTAAGGTCTCAGGGCTTACTAAGATCTTGGGCCCTGTTACAGTTTGGAACAAATAATTATCACAGTATAGTGGTGCCTACCTGTAATCCCAGCTCTTGAGGGTGGAAAAGTGGATGAAGGAGGATTTGGGTTCAGGGCCATTCTCTGCTACATAAATACTATATTAGTTACTTTTCTGTTGATGTGACAAAACGTCATGATGAAAGGCAACTTGAGGAAGAGAGAATTTATTTTGACTTATGGTTCCAGAAGGATAGGAGTCCATGATGGTGGAGCAGAGGCATGACGCCAGGCAGCAGACATGGTGGCAGGACAGGGAGCTGAGAGTTCACATCGTGAGACAGGCACAGAGCACAGAGGGTGAGCTTGAAACAGGCATAGCTCCAGTGATGCGTCCTTCAGCAGGACCACACTTCCTGAACCTCCTTACACACTGCTACCAGCTAGGGGCCAGGCGCCTGTTCAAATGCTCAAGTTTTTGGGTGACATTTCTCGTTCAAGCCATCGTATACATACATAAAGTATGTAATTCATTGGAGTTTTTTAGTTTATTCAGAGGCCTCTGCAGCATTACAGTGAATCTGATATTTATTACCCACGAAAGGAATTTTGTACCTATTACCAGTTATTCATTCCCTCTTCTACCCTAGTGTTTAGTCAACTACTGGTGTTTATCTCCATTTATAAATTTAGCTTCACACAAATGGAAGCATGTATGATATGTGATCTTTTGTAATTAGCTTTTTCATTTAGTATAGTACTTAATTTTTTTTTTTTTTTTTTTTTGAGACAGAATTTCACTTTGTACCCCTGGATGGACTCAGACTTGCTGTGTAGCTTACTTAGGCTGGTTTCAGATTTACGATCTTTCTCCTTTAGCCTCCCAAATGCTAAAATTACAGATCTGCATCACTGGGCCTGTTCTGTATATCTTTTTTTGTTTTTCTTTTTGTTTGTGTTTTCAAGACAGGGTTTCTCTGTGTATCCCTGGCTGTCCTGGAACTGCCTCTGTAGACTAGAGTGGCCTCAAACTCACAAAGATCCTCCTGCCTCTGCCTCCCAAAGGCTTGAACTACCACTGCCAGACATGTATGTCTTATCTCTTTGTGTATATAAATGGTGCTTTGCCACTGAACATTCTCAGTCTAACATGTTTCCAAGATTGATATTAAAGAATATTTCATTCATTTTATTGCTTATAGTATATTCCACTATATGGCTATGCCCCGTTTTATTTAACCAGTTATCAGTTGATAGTAGCTTATTGCTTTCACTATTTATCTGATACAGTTAATGATGCTGTGAATATTTGTAAGTTTTTGTATGGGTGTATGTTTTTCAATTTTTTTAACCCATGTCTAGAAGATAACTTACATGGAGTTGGTTCTCTTCTTCACCTTACTTGGACTCTGGGGATGAACTGCAGGCTTGTGGCGCAAACACCTTTACTTGCTGGGCCATCTCACCAGCCCCAGTGTCTGATTCTTATAACCACAGAACAGTCTGTGAAAGTATCTTAAATTCTGTTTGTAGGTGTTGTTCTTTTTGAATCAATTAATTAAAATTTTGAGACAAGGTCTCATGTATGTCTAAAGGGTTTTTATCGTGCGTATTATGCTGATGCTCTTAATTTGATTTGAAGATTTAATTTTATGAGTTTTAACAATATTAAATAATTAACCTTTTTTTCCCCCAGGTCTGTCATCTGACACCAAGCCTATGGTATGAAACCCTTTAAAATCTCTTGCAAGCAGATCTGAATCCTGTGCAGTTTTACAGATAGAATCTCTGTCAGAGTTTGCTAACTTTTCAGTATAGTGTGCCTTGAATTTTAAGTATTTGAAGTCTGGGGAAGATAGAAAAATTGCCACATCTTCAAGTTACTATAGATATCCTTTCCTACCAGCCATCGCTTTGAAAGGATAAGTAGATTTTTGTTAGCTAAAGGATAACCCCTTGGTTTTATGACCCTGAAGTTTTAGGCCTTACAGCTTTTGGTAATGCCTAATTTTTTCTAATTAATTAATTAATTTTGTTTCTTTGAGACAGGGTCTCTCTGTGTATCCTGGCTGTCTTGGAACTCACTCTGTAGACCTCAGAGATCTACTTGCCTCTGCCTCCCGAGTGCTGAGATTAAATTTTTTTTTTTTTTTTTTTTAAGATTTGTTCTTGGAGAGGGGCATGCCACAGTGTGTGTGTATGTGTATGTGGTGATTAGAGGACAACATGGTGGAGTTGGTTCTCTTCTTCCACCTTGACTCGGGTTCTGGGGATAAACCGCCAGGCTTATGGCGCAAACACCTTTGTCTGCTGAGCCATCTCACCAGCCCCAGTGTCTGATTTTTTTAGGGGGTGGGGGTTTGAGACAGGGTTTCTCTGTGTAGTGTTGGTGCCTGTCCTGGATCTCGCTCTGTAGACCAGGCTGGGCTCAAACTCACAGAGATCTACCTGCCTCTGCCTCCCGGGTGCTGGGATTAAAGGCGTGCGCCACCACCGCCTGGTTCAATGTCTGATTCTTAATGACAGCAAACAATCTGTAGAAGCAACTTAATAAATTCTATCTGTAGATAGTGTTCTTTTTAAAAATCAATTAATTGTTTAATTTTTTGAAACAGGGTCTCATGATTCCCAGGTCAGCTGAGGATGGCCTTGAACTGTGATTCTCTTGCCTCTACTTTCAGAATGCTGGGATTGCAGGCATACTTCACTCTGTTGGCCGCACTCTGTCTGCCCCACTTCATATGGTGCTGGGGATCAAACCCAGGGTGCATGCCCAGCAGGCGCTCCACCAGCTGAGCTGCATCCCCAGCCTTCTGTCTCTTACTGTTGCCTGTAAACTGAAGAGAAGGCAGGCATGGTAGTGCACGCCTTTAATCCCAGCACCTGGGAGGGAGGCAGAGGCAGAGGCGGTGGGTCTTTATGCACTTGGAGGTCAGCCTGGTCTACAGAGCCAAGCAAGCCAGGGCTACACGGTCAGATGTCACACACACACAAATATTGTTATGTATTTTTATATATGTAAAAATTATACACAGATATGTATATGTTATATACATATAAGAATTAAAAATGTAGAATTAGACTGGTATTTTCTGGGCCCTTGTGACTAGGTAGCATGTTTTAAAAGAAACATATTGTGGTAAAATATATTCAACTGAAATCCTGCTTCAGTTAGTATTGTAACTGAAATTGAAATATTTTATTATTGTTATTATTAGTTAACATGTTCTAATGATCATACCAAGGCTTCCAAGAAAAGAAAGAGAATTGAGCTGAGTAGTATCATTTGTCTTCTAAAGCTGAGAAGTTTGTCTTTGCTTGAAGATAACAATTAGGAATCACTTAGCAGAGTTTGTAATCTCAGTATTCAGGAGGCTGAAGCAGGAGGATTGCTGCAAGTTTGAGGCCATGCTGGGGTATATAGTGAGTTCAAGGCTATCTTGGGCTTCATAGTGGGAGAGCCTGTCTCAGAAAAGTAAAAACCAGTCACACAAACTACTTTTAGAGCTTGTGTGGTAGGAATTCATGGATTTGGACTGTCAATGATGGACTTGTTTTTAGAGAGAATGGTTTATATATATGGTAGTTTTTTCAAGCAGTGTTTGGCCTACTTTGATCTTGAGCCCTCTTAAGCCCTTGTGACCATTGATGAATAAAGGAGTTAGAGCTGAACCGAACCCTTCACCTTCACCACATTTCAGAAGAGGCTTTTTGTCATTGGGATGAGTAGGTGTCACGTGTTTCCTGAGTTTGGCACATAGGGTGTGTTTGACGTCAGTAGGCTTATTTGAACTCAGCTTTAGACCATAGTTTCTGCCTTCTCTGTTTTTTATTCTTATTTTTTAATGTATCTCTATTTTTGTAGGTTAACTTGGATAAACTAAAGGAAAGAGCACAGAGATTTGGTTTGAATGTCTCTTCCATCTCTAGAAAGGTAATATATATTGCTGTAACTGCTGTTTTTAGAATATTAGAACAGCCTGGGAAGCCTATACAGATTGGAAATGACTTCATGAAGTCATTTTGTAAAGCTGGCTTCTTAGCACTTCATTTTTATAAGTCATTTGAATATCACTGCCTTACTATTGATTATATCATATGAACTGTAAACAAAATAACTTTGTCCTATAGATTATCCCCCCCCCCGCCCCCGCCCCCCCCCCCCCCCCCCCCCCCCCCCCCACAGGGTTTCTCTGTGTAGCTTTGTTTGGTTCCTGTCCTGGATCTCGCTCTATAGACCAGGCTGGCCTCGAACTCACAGAGATCCACCTGGCTCTGCCTCCCAAGTCCTGGGATTAAAGGTGTGCGCCACGACCGCCTGGTTTAAGAATATTTTCATAGCTTATACCCAGACAACTAAAACACAGCCTGTTTCTCTTCGATATATTGTTGGATATAGGGAGGCAGGCTGGTTTCTGTAGTGATACCCTATCTTAAAAAAAAAACAGTGTGGACTAAAGTGATGTTAAAATGTGATTTAACTACCCTGATGCAGGTATAGTGGGAATTAAAGAGAAAGCAGGTACCTAGAATAAAATTTGAAGGTCATATAGAACAAAAGTAAAATATTTTTCTTTTTTTTTTTCTGATCATCTGCTAACTGATACTGTTTACTTTTTTAAGCAAGATGACTTTGTTGATTTTGTTGATACCATTTTGGGGTGACCACTTTTCAGGGCACACTTGTCTTTGGAGTTTTGTTAGCTATGCTGGGGAAAATGATAAGGATTCTCCTTTTTCCTTACTGTACTTGTTCTTTTAATTTTAGTTTTGTGAGACTGGGGGTACATTTCTTAGTTTAAGTGGTAGCAGGCTAGCTCAAACCAGAAAAAAAAAACAACTTAAAACAACAACAACAACTTCTGGGACTGGGAAGCTAGCTCAGCTGTCAAGAGTGCATTACTCCTTGCATCTGTGTCAGCTGCTCATAACCAGCTGTGCTCCAGCTCCAGAGGATCCGATGCCCTCTTCTGGCCGCCTGGGTGTGCCCATGTGTATGTCAGGTGCCTACACCTGTGTGCACGTGCAGACGCTGGGGAAGGGCCCAGGTTTCCTCTGTTGCTGCCTCATTTCTGAGTCAGAATCTCTCCTGAACCTGGAATTCATATTTTTCTGCTATGTTGGCAGGCAGGAAGGCTCAGTGGTCTTCCTGCCTCCATGCCCCGAGTGCTGAGATTGCAGGTGCAAGTGACTTCACTCCTGCCCGATCTGGCTTGGTTATTCCTAGGTGCTAGGATCTGAACTCTGGTATTCATGGTTGCATAGCAAATGCTTTTCATCACTGAGCCAGCTTTCCATCCTCTTTTTGTATGCATATTTTTACCTGTGTATTTGTGTTTGTGTCTGTTTATCTATATATGTGTACAGGTACATGAGTGCCATGGCTCATGTGTGGAGGTCAGAGAACAACTTGTAAGATTCATTCAGTTCTCTCTTTCCCACCATCTTGGCTCTAGGGTTTAAATTCAGGCCATCTGTCTTGGCTTATTTTAATTATGCGTATGGGTATTTTATCTGTTTATATGTCTATATACTTTTGGGCCTACTGCCCCTTTGAAGGCCAGAAGAGGGTGTCAGATTTCCTGTAACAGAAGTTACAGATAGTTGTTAACCATCATGTGGGTGCTGGGAATCAAATCTGGGTCCTCTGGAAGAGCAGCCATTGTTTAATCATTGAATCATCTCTCCAGCCCCTGCAATGAGCTATATTCTCCTAGGTCCCCCCCCACACACTTTTTTTTTTTGACCAGGTCTCACTCTGTAATTGAAACTGGACTCAAAATTCTCTTATTACAGTGTCTCCAGTAGCTGGAATTACAGGCATACACTTCCATGCCCAGTTTTATAGAAGTATCTGTCAAACCATATATTTAGACCACTAGAATTTAAAAAAATTTTTTTTCTAAAAGATTTATTTATTAATTATGTATACAATGTTCTGCCTGCGTGTATGCCTGCAAGCCAGAAGACGGCACCAGATCTCATTGTAGATGGTTGTGAGCCACCATGTGGTTGCTGGGAATTGAACTCAGGACCTCTGGAAGAACAGCCAGTGCTTTTAACCTCTGAGCCATCTCTCCAGCCCCCGAATTTAAAAATTTTTTTTAAAATATTTTCTTACTTTGTGTGTATGAGTGTTTGGCTTGTGTATATGTCTGGGCACCATGTGTGTGCTTGGTGCCTTAGGAGTCAGAAGCCAGTAATTATATTCCCTGGAGCTGGAGTTACAGATGGTTGTGAGCTGCCATGTGGTGTCAAGAATTGATTACCGCCGGGCGTTGGTGGCGCACGCCTTTAATCCCAGCACTCGGGAGGCAGAGCCAGGCGGATCTCTGTGAGTTCGAGGCCAGCCTGGGCTACCAAGTGAGTTCCAGGAAAAGGCGCAAAGCTACACAGAGAAACCCTGTCTCGAAAAACCAAAAAAAAAAAAAAAAAAAAAAAAAAAAAAAAAAAAAAAAGAATTGATTACCATTTGCAAGAGCAACCAGTGTTTCATTTTTTTTTTTTTTTTGAAATGGGGTCTCTCTATGTAGTCCTGGCTATCATAGAGCTCATGTAGATGAGGCTGCCTCAAACTCAGAGAGATCCCCCTGCCTCTGACTCCCAAATGCTAAGATTAAAGGTTCCTGCCATCATGCCTGGTATATTCAGTGTTCTAGAACTTCCTATGTAGACCAGACTGGCTTTGAATTCACAGAGCTCCACCTGTCTTCCTCCTGAGTGCTGAGGTTAAAGGTGTACACACCACACCTGATCCGACATTGTAATTGTTTGGTTGCCCAGAGTTTGTTACATAGTCAGGTTTGTATTTATGATATAGTCAGGTCAGTACACCTAGCTGTATCTCATCTTGGGGACCTGTGTTCCAGTGTAGCCTGTTTTAATTCTGCCATTTATATTTAAATTTCATAGTTCCCCACACACAGATTTCCTTCGATAGGTATGGGACAGATCGTGTAGGTTGTAGCTAGAAAGAGGGTACCTCTTCTTGCTGATGTTTCTGTCATCTCCGTTGTACAGGACTTACTTCTGACTGCTTGAACTTTAGGCCTTGCCTTACTGAAATGTCAGTAGACTTAGCTACAGGTCACAATCCATGATTAAAGAAAGGAGGACGATTGTAAAAGCAGATGAGCTACAAAGAAAAAAATGTTTATACCTCCCCCCCCTTCTTAACCACAGTCTCAACTTTTCATAGTACAGATGTGCAGCTTGGGCTGCACGTTTTAAAACTGAGGAAGTAGAGTGTTTGCAGTTTTTGGCAGACGTTTTCATGAATGCTCATGCATTTCAGTTCTTAGCTCTATAAATGTGTTATATGCATTAGACATTACATAGAAACTTAGTCAACTCTGCCTTCCCATACTCTTCCTCTTTGCCTAGTGAAAGTAACCTTACTAGTTTTAGTTTATCTTTCTTTTTCTGGAATATTACCAGATTTCCCCACACTTGGAGCTTTTTCATATGGTAACTATCCTACTAAGTTTCTTTCTCTAGATTTGTTATTCTTATTGGTAGATGGTAATGGGGCTGGTGATCAAATCCAGGGCCTTGTACATGCTTGTCAAACATTCTACAACTGCCCTAGATATCCCTGGGTATTTTCACGGGATATATATGTGTGTGTGTGTGTGTGTATGCACGCGCGCGCTTATCATTGGTTAGTGGTGAGTTGCTTTAAGATGAGAAATTTAATAGACTATTAATTTTGAGAAGATTGTCTCTGAAATATGCTGAGATATTAAAGAGTCAGTTCCATCCAGTGTGTGTTGCCTCATCCTGTGACCCCAACACTTTTGAAGATATGAGGCAGGGGAGCTCATGTGCGACACCAGCCTGGGCTGTATAATATGCTGTCTCAAAAATCAGAGAGGCAATGTAGAGTCCTGTATCTGTTTTTCCTAATCTTCTTCTACCTATTTAAGGTAAAATAAAAAAGGTAAAAATAAAAATAAAACAAAAACCTCCTCTCTCCACTGACCCAGTGGAACAAACTTTGAGGGAGAGAAAGGTGCTACTTAAAGAGTGAATAGTAGAGGGGACTCTCTGACCTCTGTTTATCCAGTTTATTTGTAACAAATACATCTTCACCTCCCTCCTCATCATTTCCCCTGCCCCAAACCTTTTCTCCTTCCTGTTACACTTCCAGTGCAGAATTATTTATTTTTTTTCTGCCCAGAGTTTTTGAAAAGATAATCTTAATTTTAACTAGATGGTAATGGTGTTTTCTTTGTTCAGTTGTTCTGTTTTCACACTCTGCCTTAAGGTTAGACACATCTTTGTTGTTGTTGTTGTTTTTAAGTATTACTCACACAAACACACCAATTTAAAAGTTACAAAAATCTGTATAAGAGGAAATGGGGTGCTTGGTTTGGGGTGTGGGACTGTATTGTGTGTTAATTGGGGTTTTGTTTGTTTTGCTGTGTGTGTGTGTGTGTGTGTGTGTGTGTGTGTGTGTGTGTGTGTGTGTGTATATGTGTGGTTTAGTCTTATGGGGTGGGCGGGCAGTATTGGGCACGGAACCTAGAGACTCAAGCAGCAAGCACTCCACTATGGAACTACAGCTACAACTCTGTTAGGGGTGGTTTTGGTAGGAAATTTTCCTGATCTATGGATTGTAGAAGCTTAGGGAAGTTTAAGATACTGACACTCAAAAAGCTAACACGTAATATTATTTGGAGCATTGCTGAGGAGGATAGCAGTTATACACATAGGCACCATTCAGATAAAATTAAAGAATACCTAACAGCTTTTTTGCCCCTTGCAGGGTCTCACTTTATAGACCTGACTGGATGTGAGAGCTTAAGGCCTGGCTGGCTTTGATCAAAGAAGGTGTCAGATTCCCTAGAATGAGAGTTACGGTTTTGAGTTACCATATAAGTGCTGGGAGTCAAACTTGGGTCCTCTGCTGAGGAGGACCCTGAAGGTAGTCAC